ATTCCATAGCATACAGCTATGGCAGTTAAAGTGAGGTCAAATTGCATTAATTGTATAATATAGAGTTTGAGAAAGCCCACCAATATTCTTATTTAGTTGCATTATTCTGCTTTGATAAGCCTCTTCTTGTCTGTCAGTTCCATTCTTCCACTACTGCTTGATTTAATTTGGTCCAGCAAGAGTAGAACTGCGTGACTCCCTTTCTTGTGTAGTTTGACTTTTATATTTTACTGTGCCTACTGAAAAGTGGCAAGCACAGGCTGAGTTACAATCTACAGCAGTGTTTCTCAACCTTCCTAATGCCGCGACCCCTTAATACAGTTCTGCATGTTGTGGTGACCCCCCAAACATAAAATTATTTTCATTGCTACTTCATAACTATAATTTTGCTACTGTTATGAATCGTCATGTAAATATCTGATATGCAGGATGTATTTTCATTCACTGGACCACATTTGGTGCAAATACCCGATACGCCCAAATTTGAATACTGGTGGGGTTGCAGGGGTTGATTTTTTCATTTGAGAGTTGTAGTTGCTGGGATTTATAGTACACCTACAATCAAAAAGTCTTCTGAACTCCGCCAATAATGGAATTGAACCAAATTTGGCACACAGAAGTCCCATGACCCACAGAAAATACTGGAAGGGTTTGGTGGGCATTGACCTTGAGTTTGGGAGTTGTTCACCTACATTCAGAGAGCACAGTGGACTCAAACCATGATGGATCTGGAGTTTGGGGAAAACAGACCTTGACATTTGGGAGTTGAAGTTGCTGGGATTTATAGTTCACCTACAATCAAAGAGCATTCTGAACCCCACCAACAATAGAATTGGGCCAAAACGTCCCACACAGAACCCCCATGACCAACAGAAAGTACTGTGTTTTCAGATGGCCTTTGGTGACCCCTCTGACACCCCTTCGCGACCCCTCCAGGGGTCCCGACCTCCAGGTTGAGAAACCCTGATCTACAGGATAAATCTATCCACATAATTGATGTTTTCATTGCCAACAATTAATTCATATGCATTGGTCTCAAGTCCATTTGACTTTAAAGAACCTTGCTTACAGGTAGCGCTGGCATGCTATTTATTGGCTCTAGGCCAGTGGTTCTCAACCTGTGGGTCCCCAGATGTTTTGGCCTTCAACTCCCAGAAATCCTAACAGCTGTTTAACTGGCTGGGATTGCTGGGAGTTGTAGGCCAAAACACTTGGGGACCCACAGGTTGAGAACCACTGCTCTAGTCTCTAAGAAAGAAACCCTATTCATAATTTTGATAACAATGTACACAGATTTGAAATGCAGAAGGTAACCTCTATGTAAGCCACCTGGTGTCTCATGCTGTGAGAAAGACAGGATATCAAACAAACCAACCAGCCAAGAAATAAAGACGTGCCATGGACAACACTATCACGTCATATATATATTTTTTAAAAAAAGAATGACTTTTCTCTCTTTTACCTGTTCTGATTGCCTCAACAGTGATAAGATAAAACCTTAACCTTCTCCTCTAAGTGTAAATAATGCAAAGCCTTTCTTGCGCTGGAACGTGATTTCCATTGAAAGCTTGCCTCCAGCTTGACAGTAGCCTTGGCTCCAAGTGACAATATTATTCTGCCTCAAGATGGTGGAATAACACATCATGAGAAAAATCAGAAGAGTGCCACTTTCCCTTTCACTAACTCCTCCCCACTGACCTTCTTTCTCAGATTTATTTAAAGACTTCCTTCCCCAGAAATAGGACAGCAAGGTGTAATTAACTAGAGCTCCTGTGTTCTGGAAATGTGACAAAAGAAGGGGGCAGGTGGAGGAGAATGATGTCAATCCTGACAGCAAATGTGCAGAGAACTAGGTGCTCCCTGTCTAGTTGAATCACAGAATCCTATAGTAGAAAGGGGCTGCAAGGCCCATCTGCTCCATGCAGGGATGCACAACTAAAGAACTCCTGAAAGATGCTCAGTCAGCTTCTGTTTAAAGGAGTCCACAAGAAGGAGTCCACAACCCTGTAAGACAGCTCTTGCAGAAAAGCAAATTTTCCTAATTTTTAAGTAAAATTTATTTTCTTATAATTTGAATTTGTCCTTGTCTCTTTGACATCACAAGCATGACAGTGGCTTCAAATATTTATATGAAAGTGGCTTCAAATATTTGTCACCTGGAGCTCCCAGTGGCACAGTGGGTTAAACCCTTGTCCTGGCAGGACTGAAGACCGACAGGTCGTAGGTTTGAATCTGGGGAGAGTGCGGATGAGCTTCCTCTGTCAGCTCCAGCTCCTCATGTGGGGACATGAGAGAAGCCTCCTACAAGGATGGTAAAAACATCAACGCATCCGGGCATCCTCTGGGCAACGTCCTTGCAGTCGCCCTCCAATTCTCTCACACCAGAAGTGACTTGCAGTTTCTCAGGTCGTTCCTGACACACACACAAAAATCATGTCACCTCTCAATTTTCTCTCCTTCAAGCTAAATATACCCAATTCCCTAAGTCATTCTACATAAACTGTGGTTTCCAGATCTTTTATTGGGTTGGATATCCTTCTTTGGACATGTTCTAACTTGTCAATATCCTTCTTGAACTGTGGTACCCAGGACTGGAAGCAGGAATCCAGGGGAGATGTGACCAAACAGAATTTCTACTACTTCTTTTGAACTGGAGATTATATTCCTATTGACACATCTTAGAATTGCATGTTTAGCCTGAGGTAGTAGGCCCTAGATCAGTGGTCCTCAACCTGTGGGTACCCAGATGTTTTGGTCTTCAACTCCCAGAAATCCTAACAGCTGGTAGACTGACTGGGATTTCTGGAAGTTGTAGGCTAAAACACCTGGGGACCCACAGGTTGAGAACCACTGACCTAGATCTTACTAAGACCCCCATATTATTTGCACATGTACTGCTTTCAAGTGTCAACCATTCTATATCTGTACATTTAATTTCTCCTGCCTAAATGCAGAATCTCTCCAATCTGTCAAGGTCATTTTGAATTGCAGTCCTCGGACTATTCACAATTTACAGATAAAACAAATTTGGCTAAGCATGTCTTCTCTTCCATTGCCTAAGTTTAATAAATCCCAAGACAGATCCCTGAGGCACTCCAGCAATCGCTTCTATCCAGAATGAACCATTGGTGAAATTCTCTAGATTTGGTTGGTCAAATAATTATGAATCCACCTAACAGTTGCACTGTCACTAGCTTGTCAACATGAATATAATGGGGGACCCTAGCATGTGGTGACAGGATTCAACACCCTTTGTGCTCAAAGGATTCTGCTAATCAACCTGGCTATAAGTACATTGATGTTTATGGTAAAAATGAATATCAAGTTATGCACAAGGGGCCCTATGAGACATTTCCAAATAAGAAACCAAAGCATTATATCTATATTTATATCCATATCTAGACACATTGTACAGTTTATTGTTGTGTGACTCGCCCAAGGTCACCCAATGGATTTCAGTGGCCCAATTGGAAAAATCGATTGATGATCTCCAGAGTTATAGGCTCAAACCACTAAACCACATTGGTGCACACAGAATAGTACCAATCAAGTTTATTCTTTTCTATTATTCTCTAGTTTTTTTCCTTCTTAAATGCTTCTCAATTGTTCTTCCATCACACATTTCTTGTTCTAGACCAGAAGAATGAAATGGCCTGAATACATGGAGGTTACTTCAGATTGTTCATGCAACTGCCATGCTACCTTGTAGAGTCTGACCAGAGCAGGGAACAGTACTGGTGCTAGGCTATATCCCACTGTAAATTCCTTATTTTAAAAAAGAGACATTTTATGATGCCACTTATGATCTTGACCCTGCTTTTAATTATCGAATTTTAGCAGGTGGAGGGATGTAAGAGAGAAAAATGGGGATCAGAGCTTGACAAGCCACTGACTCTACAGTAGGCCCTCTATATCCATGGGTTCTCTAACCACAGGTTATTAAACTACCTATGTTTTTGTTTTAAAAAATCCCCAAAGCAATCTTTGATTTTGCCATTTTATATAAGGGGATGGCATTTTACGATAACATTATTTATCATGGGACTTGAGCATCCATGGATTACCCTAGTGCAGTGGTTCTCAACCTGTGGGTCCCCAGATGTTTTGGCCTTCAACTCCCAGAATTCCTAACAGCTGGTAAACTGGCTGGGGTTTCTGAGAGTTGTAGGCCAAAACACCTGGGGACCCACAGGTTGAGAACCACTGTCCTAGCGGATATCACGGGTTCACTGTGCATCTAAATGAATTCAGAAGCTGGACAGCTCCCTGTACATATAACTAACTATGTATTTCAGTGCTAGAAGGGACACAATACTTCCAAAGGAGTGGTTCTCAACCTGTGGGTCCCTGGGTGTTTTGGCCTACAACTCCCAGAAATCCCAGCCAGTTTACCAGCTGTTAGGAATTCTGGGAGTTGAAGGCCAAAACATCTGGGGACCCACAGGTTGAGAACCATTGTTTCAAAGGGTCTTCAGTCCAATTGTTGAGGTTTGCCAGCTGCCCTCACAAAAAAACTTGGCACTGTCCAGATGTTATGGACTACACCTCCTATCAACCCTGATCATTGACTTTGCTGACTGGGGCTGATGGGGATTTTAATCCAAAATATTTAGAACATACAAGATCAGAGAAGGCTGAATCTCACAGTTATTCACATGTATGTGAGGAAGGTTAGAAGCCCAAGGGGATATTTTCAAGGCTGTTGCAAGAACCAGAGAGCCTAATATAAAAAACAGAATTGCCCAATTTCACTGAACTTAAATCTACCCTGAGGAACATGAGCCTGTACCTGGAGATTGTGTAGACAGTAAGATGTCCTCAAAGCATTTAATTGCTTTTTTTACCTTTGTCAGGAGCCAGTAGTTAAGTTCATTGCTGATGAAAACAGTAGAAGTAAGTTGATGCTACCAGAGATAGCCATGATAGACACTTCACATAAACCTCTGGATTTTCCTAGCTCATCACTTAACCTCTCTGTTCTTTCATTCCATTCTCCCCAGGGGAAGCCTTATGCCTTTGACCGTGTTTTCCCTCCCAACACTACCCAAGAGCAAGTGTACCATGCCTGTGCCATGCAGATTGTCAAAGGTTAGTAGGGAATTGGTGGGGCTGGCTTGTGTATAAGAGCAGGAAATGTGGGGCAGTAAACTAAGGACATATGTCTGGAGTCCTCTTTCTCACTCAATTGTTTTTTTCTTGCAGATGTGCTGGCTGGCTACAATGGTACTATCTTCGCTTATGGGCAGACATCCTCAGGGAAGACTCACACCATGGAGGTGAGGGGTTGTCTAGTATATTTATGTGTAAACATGTGCATGGATAAGCTGTCATAGGTAAGAAGTCTTGGCCTGGCTGTCACACTGGAAGATGTGAACAGCCAGGCCAAGCTGGGTTGGGTGTCCTCATATTGCAACCTTGTTGATATTTTACTCCCACCAGGGTAAGCTGCATGATCCCCAGCTCATGGGTATTATCCCGCGCATTGCCCAGGACATCTTCAACCATATCTACTCCATGGATGAGAACCTGGAATTCCACATTAAGGTCAGTCATGTGGAACAGTGGGTCTGGTGGGGAATGGGCACCAAGAGTAGCAGATTTGGGAACAAAGGAACTCTGTTAGCAAGTGGTGGTATAGTGGCATGAGAGAAACAAATAACTCAATAGGTTGCTGTGAGTACTCCGGATTGTATGACCATGTTCCAGAAGCATTCTTCTGGAACATGGCCATACATCCTGGAAAACTCACAGCAACCCAGTGATTCTGCCCATGAAAGCCTTCAACAACACATTAGAAGACAATGCTTCTGGAATATGGCCATACTGCCCAGAAAACTTACAGCAACCCAGTGATTCTGGCCATGAAAGCCTTTGACAACACAAATCACATACTAGTACTATTTCCTTCTAAACTCTGTTCTACCCAGGATGCTCACTACATATTCCCTCCTCAACAAGCTTTGAGCAGATGACATACTTTGTATGCAAAAGGTCCTCAGGTCAATCCACACAATCTCCACTCAAGAAATGAGATAGCAGATGGTGAAAACAAACTTTCTTTGGCTGAGATATGGGAGAGAGACATGCCACTCAGAGTAGCGGGCAGCAATGGATTAAATGGCCAAAACTATTAACCAGTTTTCTGTGTTGTTGTAGTAGAGAATCTCCCAGAAGTGGCTCTATGTTGTCATTTGGTTCCTGGGTGTGCAGGACAGTTTGGGGTCTTAAAATATCTCAAATATTTGCAAATCCCTTCTTCAGTCAGTAGCGTCCCCTCTCCCATCATCTCTCCTTTTCTTTCTCCACTGGAACAGGGAGTGGGTCCCTGACCCAATGAATTCCAGTTGTACATGGACCTCAGCACTATAAAGTCTAAGGAGACCAGAACTGGGTACAATTACTTTCTTGAACTATATATCTCAAAGTCTGGTAGCAATCTTGGTCACATTTGTAAGCTATGAAAATGCTCTATTATTTTTCTCCATCATGATGAATTTAAACAAAGGCTTCAAACAAAAGGGCCCCTTCCTATATGAAGGCCTCTACTTTTGTGATGGAATTGTATTCTTTTGTTTTCACTTTGTATCCCTCATCTTCACTGTTCATTTCTTCATTTCTTTCATAGGTTTCCTACTTTGAAATCTATTTGGATAAAATTCGTGATCTGCTAGATGGTGAGCTATCTTCAGATATGTTAAGTGTTTAATAGTATAGGTCAGTGGTTTTCAATCTGTGGGTCCCCAGTATTTTGGCCAGCAACTCCCAGAAATCCCAGCCAGTTTACCAGCTTTTAGGATTTCTGGGAGTTGAAAGCCAAAACATCTGGGGACCCACAGGTTGAGAACCACTGATCTAAGTCTTGGCAGTTGCATGTCAGGAGTTGAGAAACGGTTGATGGAAACTGATGATGCTGATGGATGTTGAGGAGATAGTGAGGAGAGCCATGATGGGACATGTAAGAGAAATACCAGGTTCTGGATGGCATGGTTCTTTCTTCAATATTTTCTCTCTTCTTGCCTACAGTGACCAAGACCAATCTCTCAGTTCATGAGGACAAGAACCGTGTGCCATTTGTGAAGGTGAGATTCCTGTGAGGTGAGAGGGAGGGCACCAGTGGGCTATGCAAAAGATGCATTTTTTAAATCCGTGGATAGGGATGCAACATTCATTGGAAGACCTGAAACCCGCTAAGTGATTCGGTAAAGTTTAAATTACAAAATAACTAACTTGTCTTCTAAGAAATAAAATAATACAATGTTTTCCAAGTAATTGGGAGCCTGTCGCAGAATATATAGGTAGAAGGTTTAAAGACTGGTCCATAATAGCGTTGGGTGATTAAAAATACATTGTCAGAAAGAAGAGCAATATGATAAATGTTGTACAGTTAGGTGATATTTGAGTACTTTATGCAAAATTTACATGTATATAAATATACGTTGCTTGATAGGACAAATTATTGTAAGACTCTGTCTTGATGTAGGATTAAGAAGTTTTTTCCCCAAAGAAGATGCATGCTTTACTATTATTAGAAAGTATAAAAAATGTAATGTTGATTGGTGGTTTTATATACCAATAGTTATAATGTGTAGACTTTGGAAATAATAATAATAATAATGATAATAATAATAATAATGAAATTCATGCTAAAAAAAACCCCTACAAAATAAAATTGCTGAATAGTATGACTCTCATATCCACTCTCATATCCTCCATCATGAGGAGACAGGAAAGCCTAGAGAAGACAATTATGCTGGGGAAAGTGGAAGGCAAAAGGAAGAGGGGCCGACCAAGGGCAAGATGGATGGATGGCATCCTTGAAGTGACTGGACTGACCTTGAGGGAGCTGGGGGTGGTAACGGATGACAGGGAGCTCTGGCGTAGGCTGGTCCATGAGGTCACGAAAAGTCGGAGACGACTGAACGAATGAACAACAACGTATCCACAGGGACCTCGCATGGATACGTAAAACAGTGGATAGTAGTGAAGGTTATTATTTTCAATGGGATGACTAACTAATGTATTGAGAATGAGGTATAGCTTACACAGGAGGTCCCGAGTAAGTACGTGAAACTGTGGATTAGTAAAACTGTGTATTGTTTTTGCAGATAAAGGGGAATACTGTGTTTTGTGTCTCATAATAACCACATTTTTTAAAAAACCCCAATGTAATTACCATAGTCTAAAATGTATGAAATTGATAACTTATACTTAAATTCCTGCACTCCTTAAATCCAGCTCCAGTTCTCTTTTTGGGTATCTGTTTGTGGTTGGCTTGGCTTATCGTGTCAGAAGTGAATTGAGGGCACAGTTGTAATGTATTTAAAAACACAAACTAAGTTAAAAACTTGGCATTATGCTAAATGTCCTTTGACCAGTAGCTGGCCACTTGGAGTGACTCTGGTGTTGCTGTGAGAAGGTCCTCCATGGTGCATGTGGCAGGCCTCAGACCGCATTGTAGTGAGGGGTGTGTGGTGTGCTCTTCATACTCGCATGCTGTGGACTCCACTTTGTGACCCCATTTCTTAAGATTGGCCCTGCATCTTGTGGTGCCAGAACACAGTCTATTCAGCATCTTTCAAGTTGCCCAGTCTTCTGTGTGGCCAGGACGGAGTTTCTCGTTCGGTCTCAGCCATAGCTTGAGGTTCTGGGTTTCAGCCTGCCACGTTTGGATTCTCGCTTGCTGAGGTGTTCCTGCAAGTATCTCTGTTGATCTTAGAAAGCTATTTCTTGATTTAAGGCGTGCAACCAGATGTTTGGGGTGAGAAAGCAAGCAAAGCTGCCCAGGTGAGAGGCTGAGTTGTGTATGGCAGGATACTGGTGATAGTGGCAGCCAAGCAAAATGAACTTAAAAGGAGATGAGGTCACCTACCACCATTAAACTGCAATCATGTTCTTTTTGTCTCCTGACTTAGGGCTGCACTGAGCGCTTTGTTTCCAGCCCTGAAGAAATTCTGGACGTCATTGACGAGGGGAAATCTAACCGTCATGTGGCAGTCACTAGTGAGTTCTAAGGCTGGGTGGAGGGGCAAGAGTGATCAGGGATGGGGTAGGATGTATGGGAGCCTTAAGCCTACTTTACATCTGATCCTCCAGGCCTAACATTGCCAGCCAGATGTGTATTGAGATTTGGGACACTTGGACCCCCCACTCCACCCCTTTTTGTTTGCTTGTTAAGGCAAGCAGCAAAAAAATAAAAAAAATGGGAGGCTTGGCAATCCTCCCAATGGTGAGCTACATATCTGGCTGACAATACAAAGAGGGCACCTGGAATTATGAACTATTCAAAAATCCAAAATTGTCAGACAATTGTCAACATAATTAATTTTGTGTTTACATTTAGGTTTCATCTCCAAGATATTTCATTATGTATGTATATGCAAATAGCAGTGTTCTAAATACTGGGGAAAAAATTAAAATCCCAAACACTTCTGGTCCAAAGCATTCCAAATAAGGGATACTCATCCTGTATCTATTGTTAAGATATGGCTGTAGATTCAAATCTCCTGAACATTTGGCATTAGAAACAATTAGAAACTATGAATGATATCGTTGTTTTAAAAAGTACTGCCCTTCTGCTTTCTCCCTTCTCCAACTTTGAAAAGACCTACGTCTATGGCAACACTCATGATATTGTGTCTCTTTTTTCCTTCCTCCATTTCCCTCATATAGCTTCTTCTGTTCTCTTTTCTTCCTTCCTTTCCTCCTTTCCTCCCTCCCTCCCTCTTCTCCTTTTGCTTTCTTCTTTCCTTCCTCCCTTCCCTATTTCCTTCCTTTCTTACTTCCTTACTTTCCTCCTTCCTTCCTTCCCTCCCTCCCTCCCTTTCTTCCTTTCTTTTATCTTCCTTTTATCTCTCTTTACTCGCTTCCTTTGTCCCTTCTTTCTTCCCACTTCTCTTCCCTTCTTCCCCTCCATTATTACCTTCCCCCTCCCTTCATCCTTTCAATTTCTTCTCCTCCCTCCCTTCCTTTTCCTTTCCTTACACACAAAAACATTCTGACAAAATACAGCAAGATGCAATGAAATTAAAATCCACATTTTTCATTAATTGCAGAAGTAATTAACATGTCTTTACCTATAACGTGCAACCTATATATATATGTACATTCTAAACAAACGTCCGCTGGACTAATCTATAAGCCTTCTGTTCATTGCCTGTTCATTTTAACTTCTAATTTTTTGATCCCTATTAGTATCACTTTATTGTCGAAGGCTTTCATGTCCAGAATCACTAGGTTGTTGTAGGTTTTTTGGGGCTATATGGCCATGTTCTAGAGGCATTCTCTCCCAAAGTTTTGCCTGCATCTATGGCAAGCATCTTCAGAGGTAGTGAGGTCTGTTGGAACTAGGAAAATGGGTTTATATATCTGTGGAATGACCAGGGTGCGTCAAAGAACTCTTGTCTGTTGGAGCTAGGTGTGAATGTTTCAACTGACCACCTTGATTAGCATTTGATGGCCTGGCAGTTGTTTGGTGTGGCTTGTTGGTGCCTGGGGCAATCTTTGGTTGAGAGGTGATTAGATGTCCTTGATTGTTTCCTCTCTTTATTTCTACCTTTCTACTTTTAATAAAACTCTTCTGTATCAGAAAACCAATAACTGAAGATTGACCTCATCTCTGCCGTATAAAAGTAATAAATATGTCCGGGTCTTTCTTGAATTCAGTCAAGGGTTTCTCCTTAATCCACACTGTCAATTTGTCCATCTATTCTAAGCTTATTCACATATTCCCATCAGCCAATCTTCTTATGTTGGTATATCTGGTTCTTTCTATATTTGGGCATGCATGATTTTTGCTGCTGTAATCAGAAAAGATTAGAAAAGAAACATAGAAGATTGCTGTTATATATGATTAATAGTGAATTTTGTGTGAGAAATGAAAATTTCAGCTATGGATTAGAGGATAGGCAAGGCCAGTCAATGCAACTGGGATAGGTAGGGAATATGGAAGTGATGTTATAATGGCAACAGCAGCCTTTTATCTTCTTTGAATCACTATGTATAATGTGGGTCTCTAAGCAAACGGTGAATTTAGATATCATGGACCACAATCTTACTGCCCTCTAGAGACAATATGTGCTAGTTCAGTCTCTTGCTATCAGTATTGCTGAACAACACAGGCAAGAGATTGGTCTGCTTTTTGCAAACAGTGGAGGAGGAGATAATAACCTTGTCCTTGGAACGTGCCCAGCGGTATGGTGGATCTAAAGGTTGTAGGGTGAGAGCCCCAGAACCTTTTGTTTAACAGGCACAATGCCATTGCCTATCATTACCCCCTTTGTTTGACTGGTACCTTCTGAGTTAAACTGCAATTGCCAAGGTAACTGGATTTTTCCATCAACGTGATGGTGTTATGACCTACTGCTCTTGTAACCCAAAGGATTTGGAGGATGGCTTTGCAAAAGCTCTTTCCCCAATAGATCTGGAAATTGCAGGAAATGGTTTCAGATCAGACAGCCACCTTGTATGTTTAGACTCTCCGTGGACATGTTGCTATGGAGACTATCCAGATAAAGACCTGTATTTCAGAAATCTCCATTGACACTACTGCATGTCTCACTTCAGATCTCAGTTGGGTTTGCCATGAGGTCTCCATTAAAGACTCCTTTTATAAGAAACATGTAATCCACATTGCACAAGTGTGTTTGTGTGTGCGTGTGTGTGTGTGTGCGTGCATGAGTGCTCTCTCTCTCTCTCTCTCTTTCTCTCTCTGTGAATGTAATGTTCGTTTGTGGGATGAACATTACAACGCATGTGCAAAACCACATATATACATATATACACAAATATATATACACACATATATACACACATAGAAAACACACATACACAGACTGGGCCACAGTAACGTGTGGTAGGGGACAGCTAGTATATATATATATATATAGAGAGAGAGAGAGAGAGAACCAATGTATCTTCTTCTTCCCCACATGCTATTCTTTTAATCATCATGTCTCCAATGCTTTTTCCACCTATCATTTGTTTGTTTGTATTCCTGTTATATTTGTGAAACCCAGGCCCTGGACATTAGGTCCTACTTCTCTGAAGGTTGACAACAGTATGATTCATTTCCTTTCCAACTCTGACAGTTCAATTGTTTGGCCTCTAATGTTTGCACATTATTTTCATAATAGCCCTGGTCTAATGGCTTCTGCAGGTTTTTGTAGCAGTTTGGGAACAGGTTATTTAGAAACTGCAGGAAGGAATGAAGGGAAGAAGGAAGAAAGAGAAAGGCAGAGAGACAAAAGTGTGACTGTGAATGTGTTGGAAAGTAGTATTTTTTCTCACAACACCTTTGGTTCCTTTCAACATTGTGTATCTCTACCACTAGATAGGTATTGCATCTAAGGCTGCATCTACACTGTCCTATATCCCAGGATCTGATCCCAAATGATCTGCTTTGAACTGGTGTCTTCACTGCCATCTAACCTGGGATAGGAAGATAATAATAGATTAAGATCTTCTGGAGACGTCCTGCTCTTGGCCCCACTGGCCTCACCAGGTGCGGCTGGTGGGGACGAGGGACGGAGTCTTCTCAGTGGTGGCACCACAGCTGTGGAACACCCTCCCGAGTGAGATCGGGTCAGCCCCCTCCCTCCTGACCTTTAGGAGACAGCTAAATATCTGGCTGTGAAACCAAGCATTTGGCCCATCATATGAATATTTAAAGTTAAAGTGAAAGTTGAAAGTGCAATGACCCAGGACTGTTTACAACAATGCTGATGTCTCTGTGTGATAGATTATGTTATTTTATGTGCTGTGTTGAATAATGTTTAATATTTTCTTACAGGAGGGTCAATTTTAATGTTTTATACTGTTTTTATCAATGGCATTGAATTGTTGCCAACACTGAGAACTTCCTTGAGTCCCCTTCGGGGTTGTGAAGGGCGGTATACAAATATCACAAATAATAAATAATAATCTGGCATCAGATCCTGAGATACAGGGCAGTGGAGAAGGGGCCTAAGTTGAAGACTGTGGGTGCATCTACACTGTAGAATTAAGACAGTGAGGCGCCTCTTTACTTGCCATGGCTTAATGCTATGGAATATTGGCAGTTGTAGTTTACTGAGGCTCCTATTTGGCAGAGAAGACTAAAGGGCTTATAAAACTACAGCTCCCGTGCTTCTATAGCATTGAGCCTTAGCAGTTAAAAGAGTGTCATACTGCATTAATTGTACAGTATAGGTTATGTTTTGTGTAACACTAGAAGTGAATGACATGCACAGAATTTCTGCCCAAGGTTTCTCCTATGGGTAAGGGTGGGTAAGCTGTGTTTCTCAGGCCACGGAGTCTCCGTGCCCAATTTCATATGGACATCACCTTGATTTCAAAAGTTTTATGTAAATAAGGAATTACTCCAGGGGCCCTTCCACACAGCCCTATATCACAGAATATCAAGTCAGAAAATCCTCAATATCTGCTTTTAACTGAGTTATCTGAGTCCACACTGCCATATATTCCAGTTCAAAGCAGAAAATGAAGGATTTTATTCAGCTGTGTGTAAGGGACCCAAGTTATTTCTGGGAAAACCATTCCTTTCACAGTGAGTGGAGAAAGCATAAGGAAAGATAAAGGAAGAAGTTAGGACTCAGCTAATTTTGGCTCTTTAGTCACATTCACTACCATCATTAACTGAAAATTGTCTCTACTAGGAGACCACAATCTTCTTATTAGGACTGAAGTTAAATTCAGCTGTTAATCTACTCATCTTCTTCACTTGGAACAGGGTGGAAATAGCATCTTCTCCTTTGCCTTAGGCAACAAAACATCTTGGTTTAGCCCACCACTATGATGCAACCCTCAAGTCAAAGCAGTCCTTGACAGGAAAAACAAAATTTTGTCTTTGGGGCACAAAATACTGGCATCCCTCCATCGTGTCTCTTTCTGTTTTGCAGACATGAACGAACACAGTTCTCGCAGTCACAGCATCTTCCTCATCAACATCAAGCAGGAGAACATGGAGACGGAGCAGAAACTGAGTGGGAAGCTTTACCTGGTGGATCTGGCTGGGAGTGAGAAGGTGTGGTGGAGGATGGAGCGGGGGATTTGGAAGGACCTGGTGTCCCTGTTATGATTGCAAAGGCAGGAAGCATCTCAGAGTCTGAGATGCTTCCATAAAGATCACTTGCCCAACATCAAAAATCCAAATGGTTCCTTGCAGTGCCTTGAAACAACTTCCAGTCAGAAACCATAGCTATCTAAAACACCTTGTTTTCCTGTCTTATTTGTCAGGGCACCCAGAGTTGTAGCCAAGAACCTATCCTGCCTGTGCTAAAGCTCTTTGGACCCATTGTGTGTGCATGTGTCTAGTATTGCACACTCCCATCCCCTGGAATTGGCAGATTTTATGAAGACTCTGGTTTTGCCAGGCATAGTATCAATCAGTGTTTCTAAGGGCAGTTCCAGACAGCACCAAATTGTGCGCTTTAGTCAGGGGCAAAAAAAAAAGGGACCTGAGAAGATGTCCAGATACAGACCTGTTGGTCCTGGGATTTCTGCCTCCGTTGTCCACACTTGCTGCTTTGTTGTGGGATTTTGCCCAAGATGGCTGCTATGGGACTTCCACTGGAATTTTTTTTAATTAAGATTCGAAGATGCAAATTATTGTGTAAGTTTGGTTCCTGGGTTAAATAAGCTGCAGAGCCATCTGTGCAGACACGGTGCTGTTCCTGGTTGTACATACCTGTTCCTGATTGCTCTTAATGTGAAAAGATGTACATTGTTGACTAGAGGGCCACAATGTTGTCCTGGCCAGAGAAACTGTGCCCTTCACTCATTTCATGAAGTTTCTGGAACACAAGCAAAGTTTTTGTGTTCTACTCAACTGTCACTTTCTTTTAGGAACTGACTGATCAGGAAAAGATGTCTAAAACCCGGTAACAAACCCAGATAAAAAATCCCGTGATTTCTGAGTGCAGGGACATACAGACATTCGAAGATGTGGTTTTTGGCTCAGAACTGGGATATCCCTGCACCTGAAAATCTTGCGTTTTTTGCCATTTGAAGCAATTGCTTCTGTGTTTACAGGGAATGGCATTTGGCCACCCTCCAGTTTGCTGCAGAAGCGCTTGGGATGAAGGTACTGTCTGGACGGGCTCGAAGGTTGTCTAATGTGGAGAATGAGAAAATATTTCCCCCGCGGTATGTCAGGGACCACCAGTACCATATTTGTTCCCATTCGCTACAACTGCTTCTTTCTTTTCTGAAAACTCTTAGAAAACTGCCAGTTGAGAGCTTTGGGGAACAACACTGGTCTAAGTCTCACAGGGAAGTATTGGTACAGATCAGTTCCCAAATTTGGTTCCCTTCAGATATGTTAAAATATAACTCCCATAATCCCACATATAATTAATTTTAGCAGCTTGGTCTTCTTCTTCTGCCTGATCAGCTAGCACTTGGAAAAGTGACTTTTATGACAACAGAGGCCATAATGACTTGGATACTGAAGAAGTTACATTAATAATAGTAGTAATAACAAAAACAGCAACAACAGAAACAAGAGAAAGTAGTGCAACTCTGATTGTTTCTAGCCCAGACAGATTGTGAACATTTTTCTATACACACCAGACAGCTCTTGACATGTAACATCAACCATTTTTATTGACTTAAAAATGGTTTCTTGAGTTACTTTAGAAGTTGGTTCAGTTTTCAGTTCCTGATGTTTGGAGGCCACTGCAGATGTATATGTTACTGTGCTTTATGGGTCATCTCTCCTCAAACGACTAGACAGTTTTCCAATCGGGAGAAGAAATCTTATTTCCCCTTTCAGGATTCCCATCCAGGATATCTCCACTAGAATAACCAAGCTCTTCTTTTCCATGGCAGGTCAGCAAGACAGGAGCTGAGGGTGCTGTGTTGGATGAGGCCAAGAACATCAACAAGTCTCTGTCAGCGCTTGGCAATGTCATCTCAGCTTTGGCTGAGGGAACGGTAAGCACTTCCTACCTCAATGGCAAGACCTTGGTGTTATCAAGGCCTAAACTAGGGGGAAAAAATCTGCTGCAGTTAGAAACCCTGCCAAGGAGCGATAGATAAATCAGCTATTGCCGAAATCTTTCTGGAGCCTGAATTCAATGGATTTTAAAATTCAAAATTAGAAAGGCATTCTTTTTTTAAAAAAGAATTTTATAATAAATAAAATTTGTTTTTGCCTTGAACCAAAATGAACCAGAGATGTGTCTTACCGATTTTTCCACATGTTGTCTTCTGTAGAAGGGCTATGTACCCTACCGTGACAGCAAAATGACGCGGATCCTGCAGGACTCCCTAGGTGGAAACTGTCGCACGACAATGTTTATCTGCTGTTCTCCTTCCAGCTATAATGATGCTGAGACCAAATCTACTCTCATGTTTGGACAACGGTAACGAACCTGTCCTCTATTCTATCCCTTTCCTTGAGTTGATGTTGGCTATTATGCTGCTGTTACTTCACAAGAGAAAAGCCAAACACCTGGCAAAATAGATTGATATGGGACTTGCTAGCTTTTGGAAACCTGCAGGAAAAATATAAAATTATTTTTCATAAGCTGTTTGAACCTCTTTGGAAAAAAGAAGATGAGATATAAATTGAATACATATATAGATGCCATTTCTAATCATTTTGGCTATATCACCACTGTAGCCGAACATGATTTAACAGTAATTTCTATTCTTTCTGTTTTACTGGGATCATCATGGGAATTGTAATATGATGAGAGTGAATGATGAAATATCTTACAAATCTCTCTGTTACTTAACCAAAGTACTCAAGATTATTTTTGCTGTTAAAATCATACTAGTTAGTCTTATAGAAAGTCATTTCATTTTGTGTCAAAAGCATTGCATAAATAAGTATAAAACTGGTAAAAATAGAAGGAGCAGAAGTGGCTAAATATTTTTTTACCAAAACCGGGCAGCAGCAACCGCATTGTCTGTAGCTTTAAACAATTCTTCCTCTGTACATGAGGCAGGGCATTGCAGACAAGCATACACATGTGGAGATGTTTGATCTGCTCCACAGTTGCACAAGATGGAGGGTTCTTTTAGGTAGTGCCATTTTGCCAGGATGTCTTTTGATCTGCCCACTCCACTTCTGAATCTGTTCAGGGATTTCCAGGTTGCCCATTCTTGGTTTGCCCCTGGAGGAAGACCTTCTTAGGAGGCCATCCAATGGGGATTTTCTGGTTAAGCTGCCCAGAGGGGATACTCTTGCTGTTGCTGGGAGAACATTAATAGGAGTGGTGGTTCTCATGAAGTTTTTCCTTGATTTGAGTCTACTGGGAGGAGGCTGATAGCCACGCAGTTGGATGGCTTCCACAGTGTTCAACCTTATTTCTCTCACAGTTGGCAGCAACTTCCTATCGCACATCATCTAGCTTGTAGAGTCTATCAACAGGTGTAGGTTTGAAGCGTCCTGTGATTATTCTACATGTTTCGGTCAGTGGTATGTTCACCGGCTTCGTATGAACAGACTTGTGCCAAACAAGGCTGTCATGCTCAACAGTTGAGTAAGACAAAGCCAGGACTGATGTTCTTATTAATTTTGAGTCTACACTATCATTAAGTTTTCTCAAGATGTTATTGTGTGCAGCTACTTTCTGCTTGGTGTTCATGTAGTTTCCCAAATGTTAGTGTTCAATCTAAGGTGGTGCCATGATATTTAGGATGGGAAGAGCTCTTGGCCTTCCTAAGTAACTTTCAATTTCCTGTTGGCTTCTGTAGGTGGAAAGCACACACTTGTGTTTTGGCAGGGTTGGGCTTCAGGTATCTTTGAAGTAGCTGGAGAGATCTTTCAAAGCATTAGTAAGTTGGTTTTCAACCGTTTCGAAGAATGTGTTGTTAGGTCAAGGTGATCAGTATATGTTTGCCATATATGTAGGCCCTTAGATTATATTAACAAAGATGTAGCTTGAGCTAATTTCATAGGAACTCATCTGCATTCTGCTTACTTCTAGGCCATTAAGATAGGTCTGGGTTCTCCAATTGCAAGTCATAGCGCCGGTTGATTCTGCTGTCATCTGTTCATATATTTCGGAGAAGGGCAATTTTAGAGGAAGACCTTTATTTCGTTAGTAGAGCAATGCCTTGCATACAAAAGCCACAAATTAAATCCCCAATGTCTCCAAAGAGAGATAAGATTGACACTGCTTTTTAGTGGTTTTATTTCTGAACATCATACAGATAACTGCATTATAATACAATGATTGACACTGCTAATCAGTGTCAGCAATGCTGCATTGACTGGACCAGTGCTTTGACTCATTCCAGGGCTATGCTATGCTCCTGGGACCATGAGTCTGCTCTGCTTCAGATCTGTTAGGATGACAGATTCAGACCAGAAATAATAAGTGCATTATAACAGACTGAAAGATGGTCATTAAGGATGGGCATGCGTTTATTCAGTCTATGTCAGCAGCATTTAAAGGCTCCTCCTTTTAACTCTCTGCCATTTTAGAGCCAAGACAATCAAGAATACAGCATCAGTGAACCTGGAGTTGACAGCAGAGCAGTGGAAGAAAAAGTTTGAGAAGGAGAAGGAGAAGAATAAAGTCCTGAAGGAGACAATTGCCAAGCTGGAAGCTGAATTAGGCCGCTGGCGCAATGGTGAGCCTGAATGTGCTGATCAGAGGAAAGGTCATGCTCTGTTATTGTTGAATCCACTCTTATTTGCTCTTCTCGCCCTTCCTTTCACCTCTCTTCTTCAAATGTAGTGGGATTTGCGATGGATACATCCCCCTCTATTTTGCCCATATGTAGGCATAAAAGTAGGAAATATCCTCTGGAACAAGTGAGCTTGTTTTTTCCAAAAAGCATTTTATATTTCCTCCTCATTTGAAATTACCATTGTCCAGACTAAAGACAGTTAAGGGTCAATGAGAATAGAACATTATGTTTTTTCTGGGCAAGAATTGTGACCACATTTGGATCCATGGACAGTGACTACCGATTTTTGCGAAATAGAAGTAAACGAGTCAGCGTGTCCTCTTAAACATGTGTTGCTTGTGTGACCTTGAATACAAACCATGTCAGTCAGGCCAGTGCACGGTGCAGTGCAGTCATAGAATCATAGAATCATAGAGTTGGAAGAGACCACATGGGCCATCCAGTCCAACTGCCAAGAAGCAGGGATATTGCATTCAAAGCACCCCTGACAGATGGCCATCCAGCCTCTGTTTAAAAACCTCCAAAGAAGGAGCCTCCACCACACTCCGGGGCAGAGAGTTCCACTGCTGAACGGCTCTCACAGTCAGGAAGTTCTTCCTCATGTTCAGATGGAATCTCCTCTCTTGTAGTTTGAAGCCATTGTTCCGTGTCCTAGTCTCCAAGGAAGCAGAAAACAAGCTTGCTCCCTCCTCCCTGTGGCTTCCTCTCACATATTTATACATGGCTATCATATCTCCTTCTCAGCCTTCTCTTCTTCAGGCTAAACATGCCCAGCTCCTTAAGCCGCTCCTCATAGGGCTTGTTCTCCAGACCCTTGATCATTTTAGTCGCCCTCCTCTGGACACATTCCAGCTTGTCAATATCTCTCTTGAATTGTGGTGCCCAGAATTGGACACAATATTCTAGATGTGGTCTAACCAAAGCAGAATAGAGGGGTAGCATTACTTCCTTAGATCTAGACACTATGCTCCTATTGATGCAGGCCAAAATCCCATTGGCTTTTTTTGCCGCCACATCAAATAGCTGACAACGCATGGAGGAAGACAAGAAGGTTCACCAGGACTGCCCCTGCCAAATTGGGATGATTAGAGGGGTTATGCAGACAGATGTGGAAGCATAAGTATCTTTAGGTGTTTCCATACAAGGTTTTAGTATGTATGTACGTGTGCTTTGAAAATGGGCCTAGAAATGAACCTACACAGGTCTTTGATGCTTAAGCTTGAGACTGGATAACTAAGTAGAGAGACCGTATTATTTTGCTATGTGTTTGCATGTCATCAAGTAAAGAAGACTCAGCAGAGATATTGTTTGTTGTATATTGGTGAGAACAATTCTTCTGTTTTTACTTTGTGTTTTTGATTTACAGTGAATAGAACTATATTTTTGTTTCTACTTAAAGCAACAGACTCGTGTATTTTTTGAGTTTTTTTACACTGAGAATAAAAGGGTCGAGACACTCTGCGGGCTGCTAACACTATTCTGACACTTTTTCTCAATAATGTAGGATTTATTCATTTTAAAGCAAGGGTTTTTAATACAGTTTTTTTTTTAAAAAACACACCATCTGTCCACATAGTTTTTACATACAGTATACAGCACTGTTTTAATAACCAATTAAAAGCTAACATGGTCATTTAAAAAAATGATAGCTATATAAAACTGTAAAAACTACAAAACCACAAGATGAAAGCTTCTAAAGACAAAAAATAAAAGAAAAATGGGAGGATGTGAGAAAAACTAGGATATTGTAAAATAGCTGACAACGCATGGAGGAAGACAAGAGGATTCACCAGGACTGCCCCTGCCAAATTGGGATGATTAGAGGGGTTATGCAGACAGATGTGGAAGCATAAGTATCTTTAGGTGTTTCCATACAAAGTTTTAGTATGTATGTACGTGTGCTTTGAAAATGGGCCTAGACATGAACCTACACATGTCTTTGATGTTTAAGTGAGATACTAGCTTGGTACCGGATGCCAGTTTGCTGCCTAGCAATTGCAGTTTGTAGGTAATCTTTAAGGGAAGTCCTGTATACAATGCACCCCAGTAGCCTAACCCAGTTGTCACAGAATAATTTAAAATATAAACAACAGTAGATAGGCTTCCAGCATTTATTTTGTTTGGGGAAAATATTTTAATATATGTAGATGAAATGACATAGTGGTACAATATTGAATAATTTCATTATCAGTGGCAGACTGAATGTTCAGATGGAATCTCCTTTCTTGTAGTTTGAAGCCATTGTTCCATGTCCTAGTCTCCAGGGAAGCAGCAAACAAGCTTGCTCCCTCATCCCTGTGCTTCCTCTCACATATTTATACATGGCTATCATATCTTCTCTCAGCCTTCTCTTCTTCAGGCTAAACATGCCCAGCTCCTTAAGCTCTCTCATAGGGCTTGTTCTCCAGACCCTTGATCATTTTAGTTGCCCTCCTCTGGGCACATTCCAGCTTGTCAATATCTCTCTTGAATTGTGGTGCCCAGAACTGGACACAATATTTGGACACAACAAGTCAGTCTTGTTTAGTGTGGACTTGCTGTATGGCATTGACCCAGCATTGAACAGGTAGCAGAGATATGGCTGAGGCTGGGTCTACACTGTCCTATATCACAGAACTTTATTCCAGATTATGTGCTTATCCCAGATTATCTGGCAGTGTAGACTCATATAATCCAGTTCAAAGCAGATAATCTGAGATCAGGTTCTGGGAGATAGGGCAGTGTACTTCCAGCCTGAGAACATAGAATTCAAGGAAAAGCCTTGGATTCCGAATAAGAGACAAGCATTATTTTCCTATTGTGACATCAGGTTCACTGTAAAAACCACTTGTGAAGGTGGAAAAATCTACCTGTCTATCTATCTGTCTGTTTATCTACTTATACATCCATTCATCCACACACACACATGGAGAGAGAGAGAGAGTGAGTTCAGAGTTACCAAGAGCTCTAGCCATTGTGGGGTAGGGGAAGACATAGTTCCCACTACGCATAACAAACACCTTCCTCCTCAAGCCCCCTACCTCACTTCACCACCCAATGCATTCCCTACTTTACATCACCTGCTCCTTGTCAGCCAATCCAGCCAACTGTAATAATGAAATATATGAGGGCGCAACATATCTCATGAAAAATATATCATTTGCAAAATAATAACATACATTTCCAAGATTTTGGTCATTTTGCATTACATTAATGTGACACACCTAAACACAGCAACTGACACACAGTTTGGAAAGCTCTGCCCTAGTCCTTCTCATTGATTTAACTAATATAGAACCGAACTGCAATAACTGGTAGTTATAAAAAGAGTGTCATTTTCTGAAACCAGAGTACGATTTGCCATGTGGCTAGCATTCTGATCTGTCATTGGGAGCCTTGGTCAGAGTGACCATGACCCAGGCTGTGGACTGTGAGACTGATGAGTGGACAAAGGCAGCCATGTTGATCCTCATCCTATTCTTCTTTATAAATGTTTGTCAGGTGAGAATGTCCCAGAAACAGAGCAACTGAGTGATGAGGAGAAGGTGGTGCCTGACATCTGTGATGAGACGCCTATTAATGATAATAACTCCTCCATTGTGATCCGGATCTCAGATGAAGAGAGACACAAATATGAGGAGGAGATCCGTAAGCTCTACAAGCAGCTTGATGACAAGGTAATTTTCCCTGCCCTCCAACACATTTGGGGGTAAGTTTCCAGCCTTCATCTTCTCTGGGAGTATGTGGATAACATCATATTCTCAATTCATCTATCACAGTGGTTCTCAACCTGTGGGTCCCCAGGTGTTTGGGCCTACAACTCCCAGAAATCCCAGCCAGTTTACCAGCTGTTGGGATTTCTGGGAATTGAAGGCCAAAACATCTGGAGATGCACAGGTTGAGAACCACTGATCTTTCCAGGGTCAGCCCTAACTCTAGTAGATTTTTTTTTGTCGTGTCAGGAGAGACTTGAGAAACTGCAAGTCGTTTCTAGTGTGAGAGAATTGGCTGTCTGCAAGGATGTTGCCCAGAGGACGCCCGGATGATTTGATGTTTGTATCATCCTTGTGGGAGGCTTCTCTCATGTCCCTGCATGAGGAGCTGGAGCTAGTAGAGGGAGCTCATCCGCCTCTCCCCGGATTCGAACCTGCACCCTGACGGTCTTCAGTCCTGCCAGCACAGGGGTTTAACCCACTGCACCACCGGGGGCTCCTACTCTAGTAGATCAAGAGTAGGGAAACATAACATTTTATTGGATAGTAATGTTATTATCCTTAGTCAGCATTCTTTGTTGTGAGAGATATGGGAAGTTGCACTCTAACAATATCTGACAGGCTACCTGTGATACAGCTTATTATCCTGTTGCCAATGTTGGACTACCTTTTGACTGCTTTCAGTCACTTTTCTTTTGCCTCAGCAAAATGTCTTGAACTGGTCCTGAGTCCTTTTTGGGGTTGTTCAGTGTCTAAAAACCATCCCTCATTGCATGGCTATGTGGTGGCTAATGCTGAATTGTTTTATTTCCATCCAGGATGATGAAATTAATCAGCAGAGCCAACTGATGGAGAAGCTCAAGGAACAGATGCTGGACCAGGAAGAGGTGGGCAGTTTTGTATCTCTTTGCAAGTCTGATTTTTGTGCATGACAGATATTCCTAACCATACAGCCTTGTATTTGACTCCCACCCCCTATCATTTCTTTCTCTGTCATCTGATAGCAATGTTTTTCTTAAGTCTTGCATTTAAATCATGCAACCATACTGATGTGGTGAGTTACAACACCCAGCAGAACTAACTACTGTAAACACAATACCCATCCCTGTTTTAGCCTTTCCCTCATATGGTGTTAAACAAGATTCTCTGCTCAGCAGTTTATCTTTACAACAGGCCTGTAAAGGAGGTTAGACTGGCAGATGATGGCTGGCTTAAAGTTATCCTCTGAGGTCCATGGCTAATTGGGAATTTGCGTTTGGATTTCCTTAGCCCAAATCTGGTGGTCTGGCCATTTGACTGCCCTGTCTCCCAGCACACTGCCTGATTTTTTTTCTGGCTTCTACCATCCCTGCCCATACTTCAAGAAATAAAGCCTGACTTCTTGTTGGAGGGAAAGATAGTAGAGGCTAAGATGAAGTACTTTGGCCACATCATGAGAAGAAAGGAAAGCTTAGAGAAGAGTATGATGCTGGAGAAAAGGGAAAGAAAAAAGAAGAGGGGCTGACCAAGGGCAAGATGGACGGATGGTATTCTTGAAGTGACTGGATTGACCTTGAAGGAGCTGGGGGTGGTGACGACCGACAGGGAGCTCTGGTGTGGACTGGTCCATGAAGTCACGAAGAGTCGAAACGACTGAACGAATAAAAACAACACCATCACTGCTTTTGCCTTGCTTCTTTCTCAACCTTCTTTGACATCTTTGGCATGCTTAAGTCCTAAACTAGCTGTCACTTTCTCTTTAGCTGCTAATGTCAACACGTGGAGACAATGAAAAGGTGCAGCAGGAGTTAAGCCATCTGCAATCAGAGAATGATTCTGCTAAGGAAGAAGTGAAGGAGGTTCTGCAAGCTCTGGAGGAACTGGCTGTCAACTATGATCAGAAATCGCAAGAGGTGGAAGAGAAAAGCCAGCAGAATCAGCTGTTGGTGGATGAGCTGTCCCAGAAGGTGGTAAGTACTGGGTTCTTCTAGGGGTGAGTTAGACCCCTTTTATACTGCCATATAAAATCCAGATTATTTTATTTGATCTGGATTATATGGCAGTGTAGACTCATATAATCCACTTCAAAGCAGATATTGCGGATTATCTGCTTTGATAACCTGGATTATATGGCAGTGTAGAAAGGGCCTAAGACAGACGTTGAGTTCCTGGAAGAGGATCAGAACCATATTGTATTTTGGTTTAATCTCTAAGAGCAGGCTTACCAATACGTTGCAATTCTGCAAAACCATAGGAAAAATACACAGTCTAGAATTGGATGCAGATTTCAATTTCTTGAGAATTGGGGATCCCCCCCCCCAAAAGAACCAAGTTTCTCACCCTCATGGATGCAAAGATATGTTTGAAAATATGTCAAATTTTCTGCTGAAATCTCTGGAACTAGCAGGATAGCTAAAGAATAATTCCTGTAGCTGAGATACATCTCAGATCACTACATAGCTCTTTAACCCTACCACTCATAATGGCAATATAAATTATGCAAAATAATAAAAAATGCAGATTAAATTATTCAAAAGAAACTGAGAAACTGAAAGCTGGTTTGCATAATTTATGCACAATGTAGAATTCACTTTCCTTTGTACAGATTTTAATCTTGTGTGTTTACGTATGCATGTGTGTAGTATTATTCCTATTATTTATGTTTATCCATTGCAGACTAGTTACCTAAGCATCCAGCATAGTTTACATATAACTGAAAAACAAATTAACAGGGCAATCTGTTTATAATAAAAAAGAAACATCAGAGGCATGGGAAAGAAGGAAGAATAATGTTCTTTTTGTAGAGCTGTGACTATGACCCTGTTTCCATTGCATTTTCCTATTCTGCAAGCTGCTGGAAATCACAGCCATTCTTTGAGCCACGTGCAACCAAAAGTCCAGAATGTGTTTTCAGTGCTATGGCTTACCACTGGAAGAGGATATTGACTGAAAAGGATACTACAGGAATACCAATATGATGTTTTGTTTCCCTCTGAGACTTGGGTTTGCAGAACCTCATATACCATGGAGACATGATAGCCATGTATAAATATGTGAGAGGATATCATAGGGAGGAGATTCCATCTGAACATTAGGAAGAACTTCGTGACTGTGACAGCTGTTCAGCAGTGGAACTCTCTGCCCCGGTGTGTGGTGGAGGCTCCTTATTTGGAGGCTTTTAAACAGAGGCTGGATGGCCATCTGTCAGGGATGTGTTGAATGTGATTTTCCTGCTTCTTGGCAGGGGGTTGAACTGGATGGCCCACGAGGTCTCTTCCAACTCTATGATTCTATAATTTTATGATTCTATGGGTTTGGAAAGGATGCACAGTTCCTTTTCTCTAGACCAAAACAGTGATATATGTCTTTGTTAAAAAATGGAGAGCCTATCTCTTGAGTTGGCTTAGCCTTATAGGCCAAAAAGGGTATAGGGTTACAGCCTGTGCTGGATGGGGTTACATTCCCCCTGAAGAGACAGATTCAAAGCTTGGGGGTGATCCTGGACTCATCGCTGAGCCTGGAACCTCAGGTTGTAATGATGGCTAGCTGGGGTTTTGCACAATTAAAACGTGTGCGCCAGCTGCATCCGTACCCTGGTAAGTCAGTATTGGCCATGGTGGTCCATGCTCTCATTACATCCAGAATAGACAACTGCAATGTACTGTACATCGGGTTGCCTTTGACTGTTCAGAAGCTTCAACGAGAGGCAGCCAGGTTAATAACTGGGGCGGCATACAGGGAGCACACAACTCCCATGTTACATCAGCTCCACTGGCTGCTCTGTTTGTACCAGGCACAATTCAAAGTACTGGCTTTGGCCTATAAAGCCTTAGATGGCCCCAGCCCAGTTTACTTGTCCCTTTATGAACCACCACAAAGATTACGATCTTCTGGGGAGGCCCTGCTCTCAGTCCCGCCACCATCACAGGCATGTTTGGCGGGGATGAGAGACAGATTGCCCCCAGGCTATGGAACTCCCTTCCTGGCAATATTAGATCAGCCCCCTCCCTCCTGTCCTTCAGAAGGTTGGTGAAGACCTGGCTGTGGGACCAAGCCTTTGGGGCAGTGCAATGAGGCAAAATGGTGTTCTGAGATGGTTTTTAAGCCACTGATTTTAAAGTGGATATAAGTATATTTGTGTATATTTATGGTTTTATGTCCTAGCATTGAATGTTTTATTTATTTATTTATTTGTTTGTTTGTTTGTTTGTTTGTTTATTTAGTACATTTCTATACCACCCCTCTCAGCCTTCCGGCGACTCGAGGCGGTTTATAAGGCAAGAATTCAATGCCACCAAGGACACAATTACAATATACAATATAAAAACATCAGCAACAATAAAATCAAACATTATAATGAAACATACTTCAATTGATAATCATTAAAACAATGTCCAGTTCTGCCATATAGTTATTCCGTTATTATATCCGTTACTCCGTATTTTCAAATGCCCGCTCAAATAGTCATGTCTTAAGATTCTTCCGGAATGATAGGAGCGAGGAAGCCGATATAATCTCCCTAGGAAGGGCGTTCTATAGCCGAGGGGCCATCACTGAGAAGGCCCTGTCTCTTGTTCCCACAAACCGTACTTGTGATGATGGTAGGATTGAGAGCAGGGCCTCTCCAGATGATCTTAAAGTCCTTGCAGGTTCATAAGGGGAGATTTGTTCAGACAGGTAAGTTGGGTCAGAACCGTTTAGGGCTTTATAGGCTAAATCCTGCACTTTGGATTGTGCCCAATAGCGAACTGGCAGCCAGTGGAGCTGGTGCAACAAGGGAGTTGTATGCTCCCTGACAGCTGCTCCAGTTAGCAATCTGGCTGCTGTCCGTTGGACCAGTTGAATGTTTGCTGTATATATGTTGTGTTCTGCCCTGCGTCCCCTTCAGGGTGAGAAGGGTGGAATATAAATGTTTTAAATAAAATAAATAAAATAAATATAAACCTCTTTTCTTGCAGGCCACCATGCTATCATTGGAATCAGAGTTGCAGCGGCTCCAGGAGTTCAGTGCGCATCAGCGCAAGCGCATTGCAGAGGTGCTCAATGGTCTCATGAAGGATCTGAGTGAATTCAGTGTCATTGTGGGCAACGGCGAAATCAAACTGGTAAGAAAATGATAGAGAATGGTGATGCTGTATGTCAGGGATGGCCAACACTGAAAGGTTTGATAAGCTATTCGTCTCTCCTGGAATTCCACGTGTCTCTTCAAACCAGATACTCAAAATTATAAACCAAACCACAAATGGCACTGCCTCCAAACACATACTCATTTCGAGTTCATTTGGTAAAAGGGAAAGGTAAAGGTTTTCCCCTGACATTAAGTACAGTCATGTCCAACTCTGGGGGTTGGTGCTCATCTCCATTTCTAAGCCGAAGAGCCGGTGTTGTCCGTAGACACCACCAAGGCCATGTGGCTGGCATGACTGCATGGAGCACAGTTCATTTAAGGGTTTTTTAAAAATCTGAATTGCCACTGAATTTTGGGGGCACGATTTCCAGAGGAGGAGGGAAGCTGAGCGTCCAACACATATTCTCTTGAGAACTATATGTGCCAAGCAGATTACTCCTTGTCTGTTTTGTTTTGTGGCCATGAAGGATGGATCTACACAAGATCCCCAGTTCTCCTGCTTTAATAACAGCTCGCACAGTCACTTTCCAGTTTTGCTTGTATCTGAAAACATGGCAAAGCAATGTATAATTTGCAGTCAGTCAGTGTGACATCAGGAAGTCTGTGTTTCAAGTGATGCTTGCAAGAAAGCTACATATGAAGTTTATTTTCCTTTTCTAATACAGAAAGGCAGTTCATAATATATCATAAATTAATGGTTTGGCAAATAGTGTTAGTAAGATTTTTTTATTTATTTTTTTTGCAAAATGGGACTGGGAGTCAGATGGTTCTTCAGATGAGGTTGAAAAGTTCATATCAGCTTTCTATAGCCTGGTTAGTAGTGAGGCATGATAGAAGTGGTAGTTCATCTACATCTAGGGAGCCATAGGTTTGCTATTCTTGCTGTGAAGCGTGAGTGAAAAAAGGCTGAGTTTCTACTATTGTGATTGGTTCTATCTTTATGTGCCATGTAGCTGTGTTCAGTGTCCAAGACATACTTTTAAAATATTTCCAGCCAATAGAGATTAGTGGAGCCATTGAGGAGGAATTCACCGTTGCTCGGCTGTACATCAGCAAAATCAAGTCAGAAGTGAAATCAGTTGTGAAGCGTTGCCGGCAGCTGGAAGGACTACAAGTCGAGTGTCACCGCAAAATGGAGGTGACAGGACGGGAACTGTCTTCCTGTCAGCTCCTCATCTCTCAGGTCAGCCTTGTGGAAACAAAGATGAATGTCTTGGGGAAAGGGGGCTTTGAGAACTGGCTATAAAGAGTGGGGAGGCGAGAGTTGTTAGATATTTTCCCCATCTAAGAAATGGTGAATTGCCTTAAACAAGGCTTGCCTTTGGTCCAGACAGAGGTGCAAGGGGAGAAGAGTTTGGGGGAGGGAGTGTTTTGCTGGGGATGCAAAATACATAAAGTCACTTTATTCCAAGGAGCCCCTGGTGGTGCAGTGGGTAAAAACCCTTGTGCCAGCAGGACTGAAGACCGACAGGTCAGAGGTTCAAATGCGGGGAGAGCGTGGATGAGCTCCCACTGTCAGCTCCAGCTCTCCATGCGGGGACATGAAAGAAGCCTCCCACAAGGATGGTAAAACATCAAAACATCTGGGCATCCCCTGGGCAACGTCCTTGCAAATGACCAATTTTCTCACACCAGAAGCGACTTGCAGTTTCTCAAGTTGCTCCTGACACGAAAAAACAAACAAACAAAAAAACGCTTGGTGGACTTATAGATTGGTACAAACTTTGTAGGAAAAGATAATTAAGGAAACAAAATAAATAACTAAAAAAATTAAGAGAAATCCAGACATGTGCCTTTTAGGTTTATTTGGTGAAGAAATCAGCAAATTTGTCAATACAGTTTTGTAGCTGCAAGATTAATAACAGCAAAATCACGGAAGGGGGAATAAGAACTATTTATAAAGGACTGGAGAGGAAAATTATTAAACTCTATCCAAATGGCCAAGCTGTCCAATGGCTTTAGAGGAGGAAATAGTGAAAACTTTGTTAGAAAATGGAGGCTTGCATTTGAATATTAGAAAGGAAGACAAAGGTCAACTTGAAAATAGTAGCAAGGGGACATTATTAATATAAAGATAAGGGTAGATTTCAATGAGATTTTAGTCTTACACTGAATGGTGTCAGAAGTCATGGGTTGTGGTTCATGGGAGGGGATGAGTGTGTACATTCTGTATATCACCTTTACGCAATAAAATTGAATATTAAAAAAGGGAGCGCTGACTTACTTGCTGTTCTCCCCCTCCGTTTCCCATCCCAGCATGAGGCCAAGATCCGCTCACTCACTGAGTACATGCAGAGCGTGGAGCTGAAGAAACGGAACCTGGAGGAGTCCTATGATGCTCTCAGTGAAGAGCTGGCTAAACTGCAGGCTCAAGGTATGTGTTCCTTGAGTAAGATTTAGTGCCAGCCCTGGAAATTAGCCTTTGGTGATGCACATGGCTTCATAAAGGCAAAAAGCTTTTGCTCCAGGCTTCACAGTGGAACTCTTTGCCCCATAGTGTGGTGGAGGCTCCTTCTTTGGAGGCTCTAAAGCAAAGGCTGGATGACCATCTGTTGGGGGTGCTTTGAATGTGATTTTCCGGCTTTTTGGCAGGGGGTTGGACTGGATGGCTCACGGGGTCTCTTCCAACTCTATGATTCTATGATTCAGTTTCTGTGTCATCTCCCAGGGCAGTGTTAAAAAAATAGTGATCAGGTATTGCTACTAACTCAAGTCCTGCTCAGTGGTTGGCATCATTAAGGTCCTTTTGATTATACCCTCCAGATTCTATTGAAGTACAAATTATGAGAGCTGTAGTTCAAAACATCTGGAAAGCTCTCAATTGCATATCACCTCACAGGGGCAGCTCAACCCATTACGCAAAGTAAGCATTTGCAGTATAGTTGATTTTGCCCAGGGGCGCTCTTGAGGCGCTCTTGGGGGAAAATACACCTTGACATATGCAAGTTGTAGTTACTGGGATGTATAGTTCACCTACAATCAAAGAGCATTCTGAACTCCACCAATGATGGAATTGAACCAAATATGGCACACAGAACTCCCATGACGAACAGAAAATATATATCAGTGATTGGTTGGGGGGGAGGGCAAAATACTGTTTGCTTACTGTTGAAAATTACCTAGAGCCTCCTCCTCACCTGCATTAGAAATTCACTTGGGCAGCCACATGATAAATCAAGATGAGCTGGGTGAAATTTCAAGCCAGGTGCATTGAACTACCATTGATCTTCAGACTCGCTGATCTAATACTGGCCTCACGCATAGATTCTTCTTTCTCACACAGAAACTGTGCATGAAGTGGGCAAGGAGCAGGACCTGATCCAAGATACAGATGAAGTCAAAGTAAGTAGAGTCTCTTTGGTGTGTCTTTTACTATCTCATCTCCTACAAATGCACTTTTATCCCTATCTCACCCAGGGTTTTAACTTTTTAACATTTTACCTCATACATTTGGCTCGCCCTCCGTGTCTGGTTTTATTATGCTGTTTTATATTGTTGATTTTGTTATTTCATATTTTGTTATGATGTATTTTGTTATTATGTGTTTTTATGCTGTATTATTTTGGGCTTGGCCTCATGTTAGCTGCCCTGAGTCCCCTTTGGGGAGATGGTGGCGGGTTATAAATAAAATGTATTATTATTATTATTATTATTATTATTATTATTATTATTATTATTATGGAGCCCCGGTGGCGCAGTGGGTTAAACCCCTGTGCCAGCAGGACTGAAGACCGACAGGCCAGAGGTTTGAATCCGGGGAGAGGCGGATGAGCTCCCTCTATCAGCTCCAGCTCCTCATGCGGGGACATGAGAGAAACCTCCCACAAGGATGATAAAACCATCAAATCATCCAGGCATCCCCTGGGCAACATCCTTGCAGACGGCCAATTCTCTCACACCAGAAGCGACTTGCAGTTTCTCAAGTTGCTCCTGAAATGACAATATAATAATAATAATAATAATAATAATAATAATTATTATTATTATTATTATTATTATCATCATCATCATCATCATCTTGGGAACAGCCAGTGGCAAAGGATGCGTGGAGTTGTAGTCCAGCAATATCTGGAGGCTACTACATTTCCCCCCGCTCTGTTCTTGTGTGATGCCTTTACTCATCAGCAACTCTCAGCGAAAGGGAGAAAAGCTGACAAAGAAGTCAACAAACTCTCAGGAAGTATAGCTGGATGTGCATATCCTATGTAGAGCCAGCTCAAGATGTGTGTGATACTGTTCACCACAATTACCTGTAAAGAAACCACCAAAACAGTGATTGAATTTTACTTCATCACTGGCTGTCTTCATTGAATCTAAGTGCAAAAGGCAAGCTGAGAGGGTAGAGAACAGACTATGCAATAAACATACAGTTCTGTCCTTCCAATACGTATGTCACCACCACTCCAGCCTCATTGAATCTTCTACCTGAGGGAACTGCCTCATTCTCTTTAATGGTGGCTGTACTCTTAGCTGAGTATCACAAAATTAAGTACCATATATACTCGAGTATAAGCCGACCCAAATATAAACTGAGGCACCTAATTTTACCACCAAAAAAATGGGAAAACTTATTGACTCGAGTATAAGTCGAGGGTGGGAAATGCAGCAGCTACTGGTAATACAAAATAAATATAGATACCAATAAAATTACATTAATTGAGGAAACAGTAGGTTAAATGTTTTTCAATGTTTACATAAAACTGTAATTTAAAATAAGACTGACCAACTTTGATTAAACCATTATTCTAATCTTTTTCAGTGTAAATGTGCTTACGTATCCTTCCAATAATAATAAAGTAAAATAATAAATGCAATAATAATAATAATAATAATAATAATAATAATAAATAGAGTAAAATAAATAATGCCAATAATAGAGTAAAATAATAAATGTAATAACAATAATAAAGTAAAATAAATGTAATAATAATAATAACAACAACAGAATAAAATAAATGTAATAAAATAATAATAGAGTAAAATAATGCAAATGTAATAATGCCAATAATAGAGTAAAATAATAAATGTAATAATAATAATAAAGTAAAATAAATGTAATAATAATAATAATAATTGGAAATCTATATAAATAAAAATGTAATGTTAGTTTGTGCTACCATCAGAACTCAAAAACCACTGGGGAATTGACACCAAATTTGGACACAAGACACCTAACAGTCCAATTTATGTCCTCCACTCAAAAAAAAAAACACCAAAGAAACAGCAGAAACCTCAAAAATTATATATTATTTTTATATATACTACTATATAATATAATGTTGTTACTATATATTACTATATTAAATAGACACATAGAATAGAGTTAGAAGGGACTCTACCATGGTATTGGGGGAGAGCAGACAGGAAGGAAGGAGAGAAGGAAGGAAGGAAAGAGGTACCGAAAGAAGGAAAAAGAGAAAATAGGAAAGAAAAAGGAAAGGAAAGGCAGGAAAGAGATATAGAAGGAAGGAAGGAGAAAAGGAAAGAAAAAGGGAAAGAAGGAAGGAAACAGGGAGGGAAGAAAGGAGACAAAGGAAGAAGTAGAGAAAGGGGGACGGAAGGAAGGAAAGAGAGAAGGAAGGATGAAACCAAAGAGTGAAAGAAGGAATGAAAGAAAGAGGTAGAGAAGGAAGAAAAGAGAGAAAGGGGAAGGGGAAGAAAAAGGGGGAAGGAATAGGTAGGTACCTCTCTTTCATAATAGTTCAGATATCTACCTCTACTTCGAAAATTCTTACTATAGGCCACAGCAACGCGTGGCAGGGCACAGCTAGTAAATGTAATAAAATAATAATATAGTAAAATAATATAAATGTAATAATACCAATAATAGAGTAAAATAATAAATGTAATAAAAATAATAGTAATAACAGAGTAAAATAATAAATAACTCGAGTATAAGTTGAGGGCAGCTTTTCCAGCCTAAAAAGGGGGCTGAAAAACTAGGCTTATACTCGAGTATATACAGTAAGTAAATCAAATGGGAAGTGAAGCAGAATAAAAAACAAGAGTACACTGGTTCACTGAAGGAAACATAGTTGGGATAGAGTTTAATAAATATACTTCTGGAGAGTTTTCAAGAAGTGTTGCTGTTTGAAGGGCCCTGGGTTCTCTCTCTATGTTTCTAAGTTGCTTCGTTCCTATCACACAGAAGGCCCTGGAAGTGCAACTGGAGAGTCACCGTGAGGCCCACCACAAGCAACTGGCACGATTGCGTGATGAGATTAACCAGAAGCAGAAGATCATCGATGAGCTCAAGGAGTGAGTCATTCTGAGGCTCATAGTAGTCCCTATTGTCTTCTATAATCAGGATTGTGTGATTCATTGTGGGACATGGGAATGAAGGGTCTCATAAGGCTTAAGAGAAGGCTGGGTTTACTCATTTGCTAGAGTTGTGGGATGATGCTGTGGGCTGGAACTGATGTCAGGTTTGAAGGGTCTGGCCATCTGATGTGAAGATGGGAAGAAGATGATGGTGCAGAGGAGGAAGAGAAAAGGCAGTAGCAGTCAAGGGGCTTATTTGGAATGGGAACCAGGAACAATGATGGAAGCAAGTGTGAGCCAAAAGCTACTGGTAGCTTACTCTGGTGTAGAGCTGCTGCATAATCACTCAACTCCGAGTCCTATAGCTGGCCCGAGACATTTTGTGCATATTCCCATTTCTATACAAAAAGCTGATCAGATAGCCAGTTGAATCTTACTTCAGTACTGCGGATGGATAGCATTCTGCATTAAAGCAGAGTTCAGCCAAATCTGCCCTCTTGCCAACTTGGCTCTCTGGTTCTCCGAATGGACACTCCCCCCACTTTTCCATGAAATCATGATTTGGTAGTTCCTTAGCTTTCCTTCCATTCTAAAAGTTCAAAACGTTCTATGTGGAAGCTTAGTTACAGACAGTAACAGTTTTAAACTAAAATATGCTGGTATCTTTTGGCCCACTCATCACTGGAATGTGCCAACCAACAAAAACCTATCTGACATTAAATCTGGCTCTCAGGTTGAAAGAGATCCCCCCATCCTTGGTTTAGAGTCTGAATGTGGACAGTGTAGGCTATGGGTTACATATGGTTCCTGGACTTTTGTGGCTCCTGAAACCTACAGGAATCCTTACAAGTTCCCTTAATCTCCCAAAGATTATAAATAACTCGTTGGCTGTTACCTTCTTGTGGAAATCATCTAAAATTCATATCCAAAACCTTCCCAAATAGGTGCAAAAATAAGTTGACTTCATTTGCTTGGTAGAGACTTAAGAGACCCAAGATTTATTTATTTATTTATTTATTTATTTATTTATTTATTTATTTATTTATTTATTTATTTATTGGGTTTATACCCCACCCTTCTCACCCTGAACGGGACTCAGAGCGGCTTACAGATTATGGAAAAATTCAATGCCACAAAAACAAACATACACGTAAAATAAACGTATACGTTAAAAACCATAAACTTAAAAACATCTAAACATTAAAACCAATGATTAAAACCACACAATCCAAAATCATAGTCCAGGAGCCATTCCGGTTGTAATTGCACTTATTTTGTATCATTTATTGCACTGAATTTACTGTCTGAAGGTTTGGTCCCACAACCACGTATTTAGTTTCCCTTTAAAGGTCAGGAAGGAGGGGGCTGATCTGATTTCCCTGGGGAGGGATTTTCAGAGCTGAGGGGCCACCACTGAGAAGGCCCTGTCTCTCATCCCCACCAACTGCATGTACGAAGGAAGTGGGACCGAGAGCAGGGCCTTCCCAGAAGATCTTAACCTCCGAGGTGGTTCATAGAGGGAGATACATTCAAACAGGTAGGCTGGACCAGAACCATTTAGGGCTTTATAGGCTAAAGCCAGCACTTTGAATTTTGCTTGGTAGCAAACTGACATTCAGTGGAGCTGACACAACAGGGGGCTGTGTACTCCCTGTATGCTGCTCCGGTGAGGAATCTGGTTACCGCCCGTTGGACCACTTGAAGCTTCCAAACAGTCTTCAAAGACAACCCCACATAGAGCACATTGCAGTAGTCTATTCAGGGATGTAACAAGAGCGTGGATCACCGTGGCCAATCCCCATTGACTCATAAAATACATCTGGTCACCTTCTGCCAGTTATTCAGCTTGGCCTTTCTCATAGGACTGTTGTGAGGACATGGCAGATGGCCATGTACATCACCCTGAAGTCATTGGAAGAAGAGCAAAATATCAATATGGTGGAAAAGCTGAAGTCACAGTCGTATTAAACAGTATCTTTCATGCAGAATCTTGGGATAGAGACTGTCAAGGTCTAAAGAAGGCACTGAGGTTCTTTTGTCTCTTCATCCATAGCACTTAACATTGGCTTGTCAAGTAGCACCAGTAGGCCTGGTGAAGAAACATGCTAATCATTGGGCATGACGGCTTACCCTCTCTGTTAACATCTCTGCTTCTCTCCATATTCTGTCCATATTCTGCCCAGCTTGAACCAGAAATTAGAGCTTGAGCTAGAGAAGCTTCGTGCTGACTATGAGAAGCTCAAGAATGAGGAACAAGAGAAAGCACAGAAACTTCAGGAGCTGACGTAAGAAACAACCACCCTCCTTTTCTTTTCTCCTTTCCCATTCTTTCTGCTTCTCCAATAATTTCATCTGCCTCTCCTTTGCATATTTTCCTGATTATAGTGCCTCGTGAAACTATAAATCCCAGAATTCATGGTATGTAGCCATGGCAGTTAAAGTTGAATGGCAGTAGTGTGACAGATTTCTGGGTACCTGTTATAGTATGCTTTCCAACAATTCACGTATCAAAACTAGGATACCTGTGACTCAGCAACATGGCAGAAATTACTGTATTTATTCGAGTATAAGCCTAGTTTTTCAGCCCTTTTTAAGGCTGAAAAAGTCCCCCTCAGCTTATACTCAAGGTTATTTATTATTTTACTCTGTTATAAATTCATAATGTATTATTATTATTGTTGTATTTATTATTTTACTTTATTATAATTGTTATTATTATTATTACATTTATTATTTTACTCTATTTTTATTGGAAGGATACACAAGCATAATTACATCGAAGAAGGTCAGAATAATGGTTTAATCAGAGTTTGGCAGTCTTATAGTTTTATGTAAATATTCAAAAACATTTAACCTACTGATGCCTCAGTTAATGTAATTTTATTGGTATCTATTTTTATTTTGAAATTTACCAGTAGCTACTGTATTTCCCACCCTGACTTATATGCGAGTCAATCCATTTCCCCAGTTTTTTATGGTAAAATAAAGTGCCTCAGCTTATATTCAGGTTGGCTTATACTTGAGTATATACAGTATTACTAAGGAAGAACACACCAGCTAAGATAATCTGCATCTGTGTGCATCTGTCCCCTCCATAACAGATGCAAAAGATATTGTACTAAAGAGATTAGGTTTAGGATTAGTGTATTTTACTGTTTCCTATCCAAGCCAAATACTATACTGGAGTCTAGTGTTTGACAGGTTGACAACAACTGCTTATAACATCTGCTTATCCTGCATTTCAAGGACCTCAACCAAAAATGCTACCAAATGGCTGTCCCCTCTCTTTGTTCTTGACTCCCTCTTCCTTGTGCTTCCTAGATTTCTGTACGAGCGACATGAGCAGTCCAAGCAGGACCTCAAAGGGCTGGAGGAGACCGTGGTAAGTATCAAAACAGACATAAAGGAAGGAAAAAGAAGGTCAAAGCCCAGGGTAATCTCACCTGCCCTCTTCTTCTTTTTTTAATGTGCCACTCCAGGCCCGTGAACTCCAGACCCTCCACAACCTTCGCAAGCTGTTCGTTCAAGACGTCACAACTCGAGTTAAGAAAGTAGGTGGTTCTTCGTACACTCCAAATTTAGAAATTAGATAGTACATCCCTCCAGATGTGTCAGACCATGGCTTTTATCACCTCTAGCTAATAAGACCAGTTTGGCTGGTGATGAGGGGATTTGTAGACTAACCAGAGGGCACTGGATTGGATGATGTTGCTGTGGTGCTTTAAACCCCAACATACATGGCTTCAGAAATGTTGCAGTGTTCACAATACCACTCTGAACTACATCAAAAATAATTAGAGCAGTTCTTCAAGGAGGATAGATATATTATTTCTCTCTTGTGGACTGGAGAAAGGAATATGGTCATGTTTACTGATGGGAGAGGTATGATTCGATCTGAGGCTTTCCTAATTTTCTACTCTGTGATTCTTAGCTCTATTTTACACTAGCTGTTCCCTTCTGAACTCCACAGCTCCATTGTCAAGTCTACCACATTGTCTAGTACTTTGTTTTTAAGGCTATAGGTTTGGGGTCTCATACTCTCACCTTTCTCCAGGCCACATCCAGAAGTTCAAAACTTGCGCACAGGGCTGGATTAACCATTAAGCAAAATAACCGCACAGAGAAGTGAGGACACCACAGAAATTTTCCATTGCTAGATTTACCTTGGATCATATGGTGCAAATGCAAATGGTGCATACCAAAAAGGACCCCACAATATTTATTATTGTTTATATTTTAAATTAGATATATATGAGGGCATCAAAATCGTATGTGTATAGAGCTTCTAAAGGTCTTAATTTGGCCTTGCTTGCACAGGACATCCAGGAAGGTCCTCCAGTGCTAAAGGAGATGCTTCCTCTGTTTTGTGTTTTGAGGTTGAGATCTTGATAGTAGTAGTAGTAGCAATAATGATGATAATAATAATAATAATAATAATAATAATAGTAATAATAATAATACGCAAAAATACTGTGGGACTTTCGATTCAAGACTGACAAAGTTTTGGAACACAATACACCAGACATCACAATTGTGGAAAAGAGAAAAATTTGGATTATTGATGTTGCCATAGCAGGTAATAGCCAAATTGACAAAAAACAACAGGAAAAACTCAGCCGTTATCAGGACCTCAAAATCGAACTGCAAAGGCTCTGGCATAAACCAGTACAGTGGTAACTGGTACACTGGGTGCCGTGCCAAAAGATCTCAGCCGGCATTTAGAAACAATAAACATTGACAAAATCATGATCTGTCAACTGCAAAAGGCTACCTTACTTGGATCTGCGTGCATCGTTTGAAAATACATCACACAGTCCTAAACGCTTGGGAAGTGTTCAACTTCTGATTTTGTGATACAAAATCCAGCCTATATATCTCATTTGCTGTGACTTACTGTGTTTTTGTGTCAGTAAAATAACAACAACAACAACAACTTTATTTATATCCCACCCTATCTTCTTGGTACTTGGCTTCTTCCACCCAAGCTCAAATCAAAGTTAAACACAGCTCAGCTGTTGCTGTGCCTCCATATGTTGTGGCCTGCTTCCTTATCAAAAATATTTGCCATCTAATGTACTCCGTTATGGCATTGAACTGTCCCCAGTCACATAACAGCCTGACAAGCAGCCCCATTGTTATTTGAGATCCAAGCTGAACCAAGGAAGTCCCTTACAATCTGGGTGGGCTCTTTCGTTGCTGATCAGTGAAACCAAGGCCATAGGTTTCACCCACTATTCTAACATCCTTCCTCACACCAGGGGGGTATATATTTGTGCTTCTCTTCCAGAGCGCGGAGCTGGAACCCGAGGATAGTGGGGGGGCTCATTCCCAGAAACAGAAGATTTCCTTTCTTGAAAACAACCTGGAACAACTTACAAAAGTTCACAAACAGGTGAGTGGGAGCCAAAGGATCACATCAGGTTGGCATGGGAGGGGTGATGATATGGTTTGGACAAGGCAGCTGGTGAGATCAGGCATACCCACCAGCCATTTGCCACTCAGCAAAACCAGCCTGGCATGGACACAGCATGGGCAACTCACATTTTCATCCTTGCCAGATAAATTTCCTGCCCTGATCCTGTAGCCATTCTCTTCCTTAATAAAGCTTTGTTTCCACTAGTACTGTGTAACACATGTGTAACAATGTATTGTTGATGGCTTTCATGGCCAGAATCACTGGGTTGTTGTAGGTTTATTCAGGCTATATGGCCATGTTCTAGAGGGGAAACAATCAGGCACATCTAATCACCTCTCAACGAAAGATTGCCCCAGGCACTGCCAGGCCATCAAATGCTAATCAAGGTGGTCAGTTGAAACAGGCACACCTAACTCCAACAGACAAGAGTTCTTTGCCCCACCCTGGTCATTCCACAGATATATAAACCCACTTCCCCAGTTCCAATAGACCGCACTACCTCTGAGGGTGCTTGCCATGGATGCAGGCGAAACGTCAGGAGAGAATGCCTCTAGAACATGACCATGTAACCCGAAAAAACCTACAACCTACATGTGTAACACATTGTTTACACAGGCCCTTTCCTGCGATCCTTCCATCAAAACAAAGTCACTCCTGCCAACAGAAAAGCGAAGTTTCAGATCCCATGCTTCTTCCAGTTTACCACTAGTTAGTGCTGATCCTGTCTGATGATTCTGCTCATTTGCAATATTGTGCTTGCCTTGTGCCAGTGTACCTTCAGTGAGAAGGGGTTTGTGCCATTCCTGTGAGGTACAGCTGACCACCTTGGTGCTGATGCTGTTTTCAGAACTGTGAGGCTAGCCTGGGAATGGTCTGCCTCTGTTTTATCGGTTCCTCACACAATATACAATTCCATTCTGCTCTCTCCCGTCCTCCTCTTGGCAGGTTGGGCTGGCAATTTCCAAGTGGTTTGCATGTGTGATTTTTCAGCTGTGTGGGAAGCAGTAGGTGGGGGGTGTCCAGATAATCAAACGCGATGAGTGACATCTTGAAGAGGAGACAAGAGGAAGTGGATGTCAATCAAAATGAAGAATAGATTTATGTACGACGCTAATGGGTCTCTCGCGTTGGGGCATTGCTTGCTAATTGCATACCAGTCTAGACAAAGAATGGCCAGGGATGCTTTGTGGGTGGAGAAATGACTAAGACTCAGAATGGATGCTGGCTTGAGCATTTGCTGTATTCATTCCGTGCATTGCTGCCTTCTTCCCCAACCCAGGCTTTTTCTGATAGGTTGGTCCATCTTTCATGCTGACAATGCCCTTCCACTTATCCTTGCCGTAAACTTAGTCCCCCAGAATCCTTTCCAATTAGCATGCTGTGGGTGCCAGGGCTTATTGGAAGGAAGGAAGGAAGGAAGGAAGGAAGGAAGGAAGGAAGGAAGGAAGGAAGGAAGGAAGGAAGGAAAGGGTAATGTCCTCATACAGCCAACCATATTTTATTGGTAGGGTGTAACATGTCCCTCTCTGGTTTTCCAGAGTGGGATTTGACTGGGGACTCTATCAGTATGCTCAGTTGCTGTCTGTGTCCCCCTTTTCCCATTGCTGCTGCACCCTAGTTGGATCGCTGGGTCTCCAAGGTACCGTATAGCCTCTCCCACATATTCACCTGCCTGCTGGACTTGGCAGGAAATGTTTGCACTTGGTGACTAAATTCAGAGCACAGAAGGGCTTTTCTTTTTCTTGCTGGGTAGGGGCGGGAAGGGTCCGATGTCTTATTTCTTCCTCACCATTCCACTGCCATGGCAACCCTACCCATGTTTTCCTCCTCTGGCGTCCTCCAGTATTAGGTCCTCCTTTGCTACTAAGGCAACTCAGCCATTGTGACCTGCATGGCTGACACAGAGACCACATTCTCAGCCATTTCATGTCTGTCTATGTGTGGCTTCTGTGGCATTTGGCAATTCTGCTGCCATGGCACCCTGGACCATGTTTGACGTGCGCAGGGGCAGCTGCTGCCCCAAGGGAAACTGTTCAAGAAAGGCAAGCTTCTCCCTGCTAAATTCTCAACCATATTTCTGTCTCCCTTCTTTCAGGACATAGGTTGAGGCACAGATTGGATATAGCCAATCTTGGAATCTGAGTAATCTAAAAGATGGAGTTCCTATAGATATCTGTGGAGGCATGACTCATACATCCTAAACCCATTGTGTGTATCAGCAGATACCTATCCTTTGGCCCCCTGGATGTAGAAGCCAGGTGTTATTATCACAAACATTTTCTCCTCCTCCTTGGAGGCTGTGCTGTGCAGTGGCTCCCCTGCTAAGTAGTGGTATTGGTGGCTGCCCCTTTGCTGCTTGTCCACCTTATGGCATTCTGGTACCTTCTTTGCATGTTGCAGCTCACACACCTGCTTGTAGCTCGGTGCTTTTGTATGTAATGGAAGATGAGGGATTACTTTGGCCTGGAGAAGGAAGGTTTTTAATCTTCACCTCCGCAGTTTGCTCGCCATAGTGTCCCTAAGCATGGTGCACGGCTTGGATCTGTGGCATTTGGGCAAAGATTGGGGCCCACCAGCTATGAAGGAAGGGAGGAGAAAGGAAGGAAGGGGTGAGTGAATTATACTTAATAATAATAATAATAATAATAATAATAATAATTTTATTTATAGACTGTCCTCTCTCCCCAAGGGGACTCAGAGTGGTTTACATACAAAAAGGCAAGCATTCAATGCCATAGTCAACAAAAACGCATAAATCAACAATACAAAATAACATCAGTACTTGGGATTGGCAAGCACTTGTCATCAGAACTCATGGTAAAAGCAGTACAGGGATGCGGGATATATAATAATATTCTAGAGCAGTGGTTCTCAACCTGGGGTCCCCAGATGTTTTTGGCCCTCAACTCCCAGAAATCCTAACAGCTGGTAAACTGGCTGAGATTTGTGGGAGTCGTAGGCCAAAAACATCTGGGGACCCCAAGTTGAGAACTGCTGTTATAGAGACTGTTTGATGGCAGTCTCTATTAGTCCTAGATACTTGAAGGATGATGGGAGTTGCATTCCAATGACATCTGGAGGACCACCACATTTCTTTATGCTTGCTTGAGCAGAATCAGAATAGGAAGAATAGGAAGAATTGGGTCAATGGAAGGGTTGCACCCTCTTCTTCCATTAATCATTATCCTAAAGGCAGAAACAACTTTTACCTTATGTACTCATGTATGAGTCAACCTCATGTATATGTCGAAAGGCAATTTTGGAGGCTAAAATGATGGATTTTTATATGACCTATGGATAATACGAGGGGCCGCGGTGGCACAGTGGGTTAAATCACTAAGCTGCAGAACTTGCAGATTGAAAGGCCAACGGTTTGAATCCCTGGATGGGGTGATCTCCAGCTTCTGCCAATCTAGCAGTTCAAAAACATGTGAATTTGAGTAGATCAATAGGTACCGTTCCAGCAGGAAGATAATGGTGCTCCATGCAGTCATGCTGGCCACATGACTTTGGAGGCATCTATGGACAATGCCGGCTCTTCCGCTTAGAAATGGAAATGAGCACCACCCCCAGGGTACGACTTGACTAGACTTAATGTCAAGGGGAAATCTTTACCTTTACCTTTAAGGATAATACAAGGTAATTCAATGGAGAGGGTAAGCACCCAGGTATTTAAGAAGGTCAAAAGAGACACCATGGAACAGAGAGAGAGGGGGAGAGAGGGAGGGAGAGGGAGAAGGAGAAGGAGTGTTGATGCTTCTTTTAGGTTCTTGCCTTTCACCACTCTATGCGGAGAAGGAGGCGATTCTATTTTGGATAAGAGTTAGGGTACAATGTTCACATTGATATGTGGATAAGTCAGCCCAGGTTTTTTGGGTTAGCGTTTTGGACTAAATTTCTGGGTTTACACGTAAATATAAAGGGTATTTGAAATGCCTTTCTCTATAGCAGTTTAAATGCTTGAGAGCTGTACCAGCTATTTAGTCTGGCCAGTTCCACAGTAATAATGAGACCAATATGGGTTCTCATGTTCGCTTATTAAAAGCAGGAGAAGCGCAAGTGTCCTGAGTGCCAAGGTATGAGAAGACAGGAAGACATTCTGTGCCAAGGATGGGAAACTCTGGATTTTCAGATGTTATTGAAATGCAAGTAAACACTTAACCTTCCACAATAAATTTAAGACCTGTTTGTTTCAGCAGGCCTTTGTGGCCTGAGTACTTTGAGGGAGGGGGGTTTCAGAATGTACTGTTTATTTGTTACGTTCAATTGAGATACCTTACATTCTGTTGATCATTTAATTATATTTTGAAGTTTTCTATCTATATCTATTTAACCTCTGTGAACTACCTGGGATAAGGTTAAACACTTCTTTACTGGAAATTCTCACTAGGGCAGTGGTTCTCAACCTGGGGTCCCCAGATGTTTTGGTCTTCAACTCCCAGAAATCCTAACAGCTGGTGAACTGGCTGGGATTTCTGGGAGTTGTAGGCCAAAAACATCTGGGGACTCCAGGTTGAGAATCACTGCACTAGGGCTTCTCAAAAACATCTGGACAGAGTTCCCCTCTCCAACTCCAATTCCAGGACATCCTTCCCCTATCTAGTTTTCCATATACATTGAATCACAACCCCCATCACTTGTTGTCAGTGTGGCTGGCACTAATTGTAGTACAACATGTCTGGAGGGCACTGGTTGGTTAAGTTGCTCTAAAGATCCAAACTTTGGTCTTCCAGATGTTTTTGGACTTCAGCTCACATTATTCCTGACTGTTGGTCAAACCGACTGGGGCTTTTGGAAGTTGAAATCCAAAATAACTGGAGTCTCATAGTTTGGGAACCATTGCTCTAAGGCAGTGGTGTCAAACTTGTAGCTCTCCAAGTGTTTGGGATGCCAACTCCCAGAAGCCCTAGCTAACTTGTCCACTGGTAAGGAATTCTAGGAGCTGAAGTCCAAAACATTTGGAGGGCCACAAGTTTGAAACCACCATTCTAAAGCATTGGTTCTCAACCTCTGGTTTTCTAGGTGTTTTGGATTTCAACTCCCATCTGTCAGTGAAAGCTTCTTGGAATATAAGCACAAATCAGCTCTAACTTTGCTCTTTCGGGTGTTTTGGACTCCGGCTCCTGGAAACCCAGCCATCTTAACAGCTGTTAGGAATTGTGGGAGCTGAAGTTCAAAACATCTGGAGGAGCACAGTTTGAGAAACTCTGAGCCAGAGGCTCAATGGCTGACAGTTCCTACTATAAAGCATGAAAGTTCTGGGTTAGGGAGAGCAGAAGTGGTATTTGGTGTTTTTAGGACTGTAGGGAAAAGCGGAATGCCACTGAGTTTGGTGATGAGTCTTTTCGCAAAGAGCAGTGGTTCTCAATCTGTGGGTCCCCAGATGTTTTGGCCTTCAACTCCCAGAAATTCTAACTGCTGGTAAACTGGCTGGGATTTCTGGGAGTTGTAGGCCAAAACACCTGGGGACTCACAGGTCGAGAGCCAGGGGTATTAGATCTGGGGGCAGAAACCCCTGAACCTCCTTTCTTTACCTCTTTATCTTCTCTCATCTCTCTTTCCTACCCACCGGGGTCTCAGCTGGTTCGTGACAATGCAGATTTGCGTTGTGAGCTTCCTAAACTGGAGAAACGTCTTCGGGCTACGGCTGAGAGAGTTAAGGCCCTGGAGGGTGCACTGAAGGAGGCTAAAGAGGGTGCGATGAAAGACAAGCGTCGCTACCAGCAAGAGGTTGATCGCATCAAGGAGGCAGTGCGCTACAAGAACACCATGAAGCGCAACCACTCTGCACAGATCGGTGAGCAAGCAGGTTGAAAGTGGGTACCACTACTCGCATGGGGACTAGACCAGTAGTACAATACTAGGCTTTTTGGCTTGGGAGGAATATGCCTGTATGCTCAATGGAGCTTAGTTTATAATATAAGTTTATATTATATGTTCAATGGGGCTCCCTTTATAATGTAATATAAGTGAGGGAACTTTTGGACTCCAGCTCCCAGAAGTTCTAGCCAGCTTGGTCAGTGATGAGTGATGTTGGGGATTATCATGCATAATATTTATAGGCCAAAGGTTGTCCAGGTTCCTCAATTAATATGTCTAGGACTGCAGCATGAGTCAATTCCATCTCTCCTCGCCACCCCTTTCTTTGTGTAGTAAGTGATCTAAGGATGCTAAATTATACTTTTTCTATTTCTATCCATGTACATTTGGAAGTGTTGTACTCTGTAGATATAAGTGAGCTTTCAGACAAGAAACTGTGTTTAAAGGCAAATGTATATCTACAAAGTACTATTAAGAACAGGCACTGTGTTCTCCATCTTTTAAATTAATGCTGTGTGAAGACAAGCTAAATTATTTAAGTCCAAAGTGTTTATTGAGTCATTATAAAAAGAAGGGGGCTTCAAAAGGCTATCTATATCAAACTAATTTATAGATCCCACACAGGCATCATTCTGTGAAGGCATAGCCCACATCTATGAAAGCAGATCAAATAAACTAGACATCCATCAAAATAGACACATGTAGTCAGATAAATAAATCTACTTGTATTTCAAAACTCATTCATTGCACTGGAAAACAGGTGTTTTGTTTCCTTTACAGTTTTTTGTGTACCAAATAGATTTTTTTGATCCTGATCACATAAAAAACTGAATTGTCACATCACGTAAGATTTATGAGAAACAGCCAATTTTATTTTACAATTATTGCAAAAATTTGATACATTTTCTTGCTTGACAGTAACTTGCATGATTTTTTTAGATAGACCATACCTTTGACAGCCATAACCAACATTATGTAACATGTAACGAAAGCCCGCTTGGGCATGCCAGAGGCATGGACACTAGAGGATGAGGAAGTAGGCGATTATGGCAATCAGATGCAAATAGAAGCTGATGCTGATCCTGACTTTTTGCCATCAGCAACCAGCGATCCTCATTTAATATCTCAGGCAGAGCTGAACAATCTGCCATACATCAAGGGAACTACTGACCGCATAGGGAAGCTGATGAGAAAACACAACATACAAACTACCTACAGACCCACCAAGAAAATCCAACAAATGCTATGTTCAGCAAAGGACAAGAGGGATCCTCTCACTTCTGCAGGAGTCTACCATGTTCCATGCAGCTGTGGACAAGTCTACATAGGGACCACCAAATGCAGCGCCCAAACATGAATCAAGGAACATGAAAGGCACTGCAGACTACTTCAACCAGAGAAATAAGCCATAGCAGAGCACCTGATGAACCAACCTGGACACAGCATTTTATTTGAGAACACAGAAGTGCTGGACCACTCCAACAACCACCATGTCAGACTACACAGAGAAGCCATTGAAATCCACAAGCATGTGGACAATTTCAACAGAAAGGAGGAAACCATGAAAATGAACAAAATCTGGCTACCAGTATTAAAAAACTCAAAAATTACAACAGCAAAACAACAGAGAGTAAACAATCAGGCACATCAAATCATCTCAACAAAAGATTCCCCCAGGCACTTCCAAGCCATCAAATGCTAATCAAGGTGGTCAGTTGAAACATTCACACCTAGCTCAGCAGACAAAAGTCCTTTGTCCCACCCTGGTCATTCCACAGATATATAAACCCATTTTCCTACTTCCAACAGACCTCACTACCTCTGAGGATGCTTGCCATAGATGCAGGCGAAACGTCAGGAGAACATGCCTCTAGAACATGGCCATATAGCCCGAAAAAACCTATAACAACCCAATCTGATCAGAGATTTGAGTTTATCGAAGTCAAGCAGAGCTGCTTGGATCAAGGCTGCAAGGATGGAATCTTTTGTCATCCAGTACGAAAATCTCAAAATTTCTCCACCGTAATGAAGATTTGACAAAATATTTTAGACAAACTGACAGTCCTGCCTTTTGCTGTGACATCAGCAGATTGTTTTGAACTCTCAGACGCAACCACAACCCAAAAGAACAATGATTGTTTAGTTTATTGACTTATCGGTCTTAAATTTGAAGGCTGTTTTGCAATGGCAATACCTACTCTTCTAAACCTATTGAACTTATTGATTCTTGTGAAAGAATCATATGAGAACATGCAACTATTACAGAACTGTCCTTGATACTCGAACAAAATTTGTGTGGTGATCTTAAGATAGTTGCAGTTCTACTGGATCTGCAGCTTGGTTACACAAAGTATTGCTATTACCTTTGTGAGTTGGACAGTTGAACATGAGATTTGTATTATTCAGAAAATAATAATAATAATAATAATAATAATAATAATAATAATAATAACCTTTATTTCTACCCTGCCACCATCTTCCTATTGGGGACTCGGGGCAGTTTACACGAGGCCAAGCCCAAACACAGATTACAGCAGAATAAAACCGAAAAGGCAAACCGCAAACACAGACAATGAACAATAACATCATAATTACATAAAACATGTGAACACATAATGATATAAAATTACAATAAACACATCACAGTGATAAGAAAAGACTGGCCTCTCCGCAATAAATTGGTTCCAGGGCAGAAGAATGTCACACATGACCCATTGGTTGATCCAAAGAAGATATGTCTTCCACCTTTACACATCAAACTTGTGCTAATGTAAAACTCAACGCAATGAACAAGCAAAGTGAAGCCTTAATTTATTTGCGTCAGATGTTTCCACGCATAAGTGATGCAAAGATAAAAGATGTTTTCATTGGCCCACAAATCTGAGATGTAATGGATAACCACTTTGATGTTCTTCTACAGGGTGCAGAACATGTTGTGTGGATGGCCTTCAAGAATGTTGTTCATAACTTCCTAGGCGACTATAAAGCACCAGGTTATGTTAGCTTGAAAGTCAGCTTCAGGCATACAAATCAGTGAGGTTCAACATGTCACTGAAGATACATTTTCATCATTCCCACTTGGACTTCTTTCCAAACAACGGTGAAAGGTGTCATCAGGACATTACCAAGATAGAGAAATGATATCAGGGCAAGTGGAATCTGTCTATGTTGGGTGACTATTGTTGGACTCTCATCTGCAAAGTGCCAGACAGTGATTACAAATGAAAACCTGTAAGAAAACATTTTTAGTTTTGTTTCCTAATGAGATCATTACTGTCATAGTGTATGCCGCTACAGACATATAGTTTGCCAGAAAAGGTCGATACATCCTAAGCATTGCTAGATGTCTATGATACGATAAAGACATTTATTGATCATTTCAGGAGTGAACCAAGGGTACAATTGTGGTGTATTTGAGAAAACACAAAGTTTACAAACTTGGCATTCTATTAAATGTCCTTTGACCAGTAGCAGGCCACTTGGAGTGCCTCTGGTGTTGCTATAAGAAGGTCCTCCATTGTGCATGTGGCAGGGCTCAGGCTGCATTGTAATAGGTGGTCTGTGGTTTGCTCTTCTCCACACTTGTGTGTCGTGGAGATAAAGACATGATAAATACATAGTTGTGTTCAGCATGTTAAAATCTACTTGATTCACCCAAAACTGTGGAGGAAACAAAACATTCCCAAAATTTGTTGACCAGTAAATACCCACAAGCGACTGCTGTGATACCACCTTTCTTATCCTCACAGTTCACAGATATTGTCAATATTCTTGGACAAAATTTAGGAACTCAGAGATAGAGAAGAAACAGGACCAAATTCCATTCCATTTCTGTGTTTCATTCTCTATTGTCCTACAATATTTTTAAAAAATCCAGTGCAGTTGTCTCTCTCTTACCTATTCTTCCCTGCATCTGTGCCCAGGGGGAGAGGAGGACAAACACATATTATTTGATATTCCCTCCACCAGCCAAGTGTTTTTATCTCAGTACCCTGGAAAGTGGAACCTTCCTTGATAGGGTGTTAACCCTACAAAAATTTGTCTGAACAGGTCAAAGAGCTTATTTTGAGAAGGCTGTTCAGTGTGTGCAAATGTGATTTTGATGCCTGCCTTCTGTGTGCATTTTAGATTTGCATGTTGGCTGCCACAGAAACTTTTGGCTACATCCAGGACTGTATCCCTCTGATGGTCTCAACTGTTATTCCCCTAATTTCTCACCACTTGCCATGCAGCCTGTGGCATATGGGAGCTGAAGTTCAAAACATTGCAGGCTCTTGTCCTAAGTAGAATCTTAAACAATTTAGAATGAATATATCAATAGATGTGTTATATTACATGTGTGAATTGTATCCCTTTGCAGCCAAGCCAGTGCGGCCAGGACACTATCCAGCTTCATCCCCCACCAACCCCTATGGTGTCCGCAACTCTGACTGCATCAGCTACACCAACAGCCTCTTCCAGAACTATCAGAACGTCTACCTGCAAAATTCTGGCAGCACTGTGCCCGACAGGTAGTGAGTGTCCTTCACCAATCATTACATTCAGAAAGATGGTGGGAAGATGTTGGCTCCTGAAGTCATGTTGTGAATTAATCAAGGTCGTCTTGGGTTGGCTTAGTTCAGTCCCCGGGTCTTTTGTATATACTCGTGTATAAACCAAATTTATGTCGAGGGCAAGATTTGGGGAAAAAATATGGTTTTGATGTTGTAAGTCAGAGAGAAAAGATAGCACTAATGCCAGCACGAGTGCCAGTTTTAACTGGCTGCCATTTCCCACCAGGAATTCAAAAAGGCCAGAAATGGCACCACAACATAGAAAGTATAGAGAGTCAGGTCCCCTCTACACTGTTCTTATATCCCAGGATCTGATCCCAAGTTATCTGATTTGAACTGGATTATCAGTCCCCACTGCCATGTAAGAAATAATATGGAATCAGATCCTGAGATATAGGGCAATGTAGAAAGGGCCTCAGTTTTTCTTTTAGGTTCTCCCAGGACAGACGAAGCTCTTGCCTTTTGCCATGCCACTAAGAGAAGGGGATTATGGCTTTTTTTTTAAAAAAAATTAAAGTACAGTATTAACATTGACACATGGATAAGTAGACTCAAATTTTTTGGGTTGCTTTCTTGACTGAACTTTCTAGAATTATACGTGAGTATACAGGGTATACTGGGTTGTTGTGAGTTTTCCGGGCTATATGGCTATGTTCCAGAAGCATGTTCTCTTGGCAGGCATCCTCAGAAGTTGTATTTTGAGAAAAGAGACAAGAAATTGGAGGTTTGGGGAATTCTTCTTGTGAAGGTTACTGAGCTCAACTGTCAACTTCCCACATTAGTCAATTCACCAGTAGCACCAACACACAAGGTCTCGCCAAGCAATGAGGCTTTTCTATAGACCTAGACTCTGGAATTTTGAAACTGAATTGGAAACTGTAAAGTTAGCTTCATATTACTGTGTACAAAAGCACATTATATTCCCTGACAGGTGTTTGTGGGTGTTTAAAAAAAATTGTAAATGAGCATACAAGACCTACTTTTGAGAAAGGTTTCTTAAGATATTTTCAGGTTATGATCTGGGGAGATGAAATCTTTGCAAGTTTATTGCTGCATGCACTGATCCAATTAGGAAGATACGTTTTTGTCTTCATTAGGACATAAAGGCATGGCTGCTGTAATCGCCCTTCAGTCAGAAGTATAAGATTCCTGAAGGAGAATCAGGGACAGATTTGGCAATTTTGGGAACCAGATAGTTTTATTAATACTGATTTTTTTTTGAAGGGATGTGTTCTTGTACCCCATGAGCTTTCTCTTTTCCAAGCTATAGGCCATCCTTAGGAATCCTGTGATGCCTCACATGATTAGCACATTTTATTGTATGCATTTTTTTCTTGCACTCTTTTTCTTCTGTGGCACACAAGTTTTTTCTCTCCAATCTACATGTGAAATGTTCAGCTTGGTAGTCCTGCCATCAGCTCCAGCAGTTGAAAGAGATTTCGCTCTCCCCAACTGCCGTCCTGTAGGCTCCTCATTCAATCAAAGTGAACCCATGCTGGGACATTTGAGCCTGTGACATCCTTCTAGCACACTCAGAAGGTAGAGACCCACAAGCCAGCATTAATCCCTCATATATCATTTCTCTCTTTTCTGCCCATCCAGCTTTACCAATGCCTCATCCAGCAGTGGAAGCAGCTCCTCCAGTGCCCCGCTGGCCTCCTATCGGAAGCTCAATATGGATAACGGTAAGGATTGAGACATATACAGCCAGGATGAGGAATCTGTGAGCCTCCAGGTATTGTTGAACCAGAAGCTAACTGATGTATTACAAAATGAGTAACAACATGGGTTGGATATATAGGGTTCAACATGCATAATGTGGTGGTGGCAATCACCCCCTCTCTAAAACCTAATGCTGCTGTTTTGATGTCTCCTGTTTTTTGCCTGGATTGATGCATAGGAAATGCCACAGACATCAATGATAACAGGTAAGAACCCAGAGAAAAGGGGGCTCTTCAGAGGGAGACATAAACTAAAATAGTTCCCCCGGCCATGCCGGGTCATTGGATCCTGAGAGGGACTGGCTCTCACCTTTCGGTCACAGAAATGGAAAAACAAACATTTAAAGCAAGATGGGAAAGTCTCAGCTGCCAGGTATTTAACTTTCCCTCTCCTGTAGAAGTGACCTGCCCTGCGGTGTTGAAGCTGACGATCAAGCCAAGCTCTTCCCTCTTCACCAGGAAACTGCAGCCAGCTAATAGCAAAAGCGTCACCACTTGCCCAAGGGGCTGCAATACACCATCAGGTACATCCTCTCCTCTATTCTTGACCTGAGTTAGCCACCCGCGTTGAGACTTTATCACAGTCTCTGCCATGAACGTACTGGACTTCTCTTTCATTTCTCTCTTTCTCTCTCTTTTTCACAAGACTTATTAGATACCCGTCTATTTAAGAATGTTTTAATTCACATTTCAATGTATCCACGTCTATCAAAGCTGCATGGAATCACAGAGAGGGTGTGAGTGTGTTACGTCATAAAGAAGGCCCATGAATGGAGTGGAGTGTGTGTGTTTCTTCAAACTTCCCTTCTCTGCTCAGTCTAACAACTGTCCTGTGCATCACTTTCACATAATAATAATAATAATAATAATAATAATAATAATAATAATACACTTTATTTATATTCTGCTCTACTTCCCCAAGGGGACTCAGAGTGGATTATAGAACACATATATGGCAAACATTCAATGCCGTTATACAATTAACAAGGACAGACAATACATAAACAGAGACAAAAGCTTTTCCCATCTTTTCCCTTTCCGGCATCGGGAGGCTGTGCTAGACTCTAGCCACAGGAGGGTGCTGTTGTGCCATCTTCCATGCTGAGGAGCATTGTCATCCTCAGACGTCCTCCGAGTGAATTGCCAACATGTCCTTATGGACGCCTTTTATTGCCTCCCCGCTTAAAGCGGTCCTATTTATCTACTCACATTTCTGTAAAAGGTGCAACAATTCAGTGTCTTGTGAGGATCTTAGCTTTCATTTTGGTAGAAGTAAAGCCTGATGGCTACATAGAGCCCTCAACTCCATTATGATATAGGCCCCTGCAGCATCTATTAAATGTCCTGACTTCCCCGCTAACATTTGTGGTCACTTTCTCACTGCAGAACTTTCAACCCACCTGTGAAACAGGGTGATTTTGCTTCCAGCACTGACTCCCAAGCCTCTGGCAAAAAAATTGGCAGGAAAACAGGTTACTTCTTGTTTTGATTTGGTTCTCAAATTGTGGTGCAGCTCATGCTTTCTTTTTTGGGAGGGTGTATGTGTTAACGTTTCTTGCCCCCATTAAAATTGCCCATCCCTGATCCTAAGGGTCTTCCACACAGCCATATAACCCACAATACCAAGGCAGATAATCCACAACATTTGCTTTCAATTGGGTTATCTGAGTCCATACTGTCATATAATCCAGTTCAATGTGAACTTTATACAACTATGTGGAAGGGGTTCTAGACAACATTTTACATAGAAACTCACTATCTGGGAGGAACAGGAACATGCAAATAATTGCCTAGGCAAGAAGGTAGACATCTAGACATTTTGAACTAGCATGATCCTTGATCATTGGCCATTTGGAGTTGATGGGAGTGGTATGCTAAAATATCTCGAGGGCAAAAGGTCCCTCACCTCCAGACTATGTGAACATTTGGATCTGATCAAATAATCTGAATATCATAATCTTAAGAAATACTATCAGATGGAAGGTCATTGCAGATACATGGATCAGGATTCAGCTCTGTATCTAACACAACAGACTAGGTGCCTGGTTTCTTTGAGGTCGTTCCTACTTTCTCTCTTCACCCTCCCTTTCTTCTCTTTTTCTCTTCTTAGTTTCTAATTGGGACGGAAGCCTCAACTCTGCATGCTGCAGCCTGGCTTTCCATGACTTCTGCTACAAATGGGCCCTGTTTGTGTGTCCTGCTCTCTCCGTGTCCTGTATATTTATCCAGCTGCTGCTTCACTCTCTCACTGTTTCTCTGTCTTACTCACTTAATGGTATACTCACTTATTTCCTTGGGCTCCCTGCTCCTTAGTCCAGGAGGCAATTGCCTCTTCCTCCCTTTTCCTGCCTCAGTTGCCTTAAGGGACTGGTTGCCATTGATGAATGGAGATGCAGAAGCACCCTCCTGGAGGCATATATTCCTGCCTAAGAGAAGGGATTCAAAGCATCTCCCTTGTATCACATTGACCCTAGCCTAATACACCACCCTTATTCTTACCACTGTCGGCTGAACCTCGTGTGCCCTGTGGGAATTAGGCACTTCCAGGTTACTGGCTAGGTAGGCAGGTAGGAATTGCTTGCCTATTATGGGCTGACTCTGCAAAAATGTACGGAGTATCCCTTACTTAGCCCTTGTCTTTACAAAATGTTCCAAGGGCATAAAACGTGGGAAACCAGCTCCACATTATTGAGTCTGCCATGGTGCTTGAATCTCAACTGTCTTTGGATATGAATATATCCCAGGTATACTTAACATGTTGAAGATCACTGTGATGGTTCCGCAATGGCAAAGAAACCTATCTGAATATGCAGAAGTTACTTTCTGCTTGCTTGCTTTCAAAACTTGCTTTCAAAACTCTTCCAGCTGGCATGATGGTGTTGGTGGCTCCTGTACTTTGTGGAGCTGGCCATCTATTAGCCATCAGTGGAAACAACACAGGGGATAACAGAGTAATGGGGGGCATGCAGGTATACAGGAGCTATCCCAACATAGGGGTAGTGATGTGGCTCTTTATATGAGAGCATAACTAGGCACAAGGAACACATCAATAGTTTTATTTTAGTCTGTGAAGATGGAGACAAGGTAGTTTGGGCTCGAGGAGGAAGATGAGAGTTTGCAAAGCAATGTGGTTGCCAGTTCCCCAACACTGTCCTGATCAACTGCAGCCATGGCACAAGGGGAGGCTAGGGTCAAACGATACTGCAAAGTGAGACAAGAAAAAAATTGAGGCTGCTATCATATTTTCAGTTGTTCCTTTTTTTTTTGTGTCTCTTGGTAGCTGGCTCAGTGGCCTTTAGTCCGTGTTTCCATATTTGCCCTTTAAGGGAACAGTGAGTCCACTGCACATCTTGATTAATGTCACGACTTCTGAATCACACAGAGCAGACCGGGTTGTGGGAGAATGGGGAACGGCTGGGCAGGAGGAGGCTGCAGGACTGCCTGATGTCAGACCCCTTCCTTCATCGCAGCAGCCCTGTTCAGCCTCCTTGCAGGAACTGCAGGCACCCCGTCATCTTACCTCTCTCTGCTCAGATCACACCAAACGTTGCATGTCAAAATATTTAAAAGTTTATTTAAAAAAACAAATCAATAAACAAATATGTTAAAAAAAACATTTTTGTCTGTAGTTGTTTTGTCAATTCAAAAACACGCAGGAGGAACAAGGGGGAAAAGTATGTAAAAATATTAATTCAGTGCGTGGTATAAAGTATTAACATTTCAAAAGAAACAAGATACATGGAAATTAGAACGTCAGCTTCGGCTGAACTAATGTAGATTATTGTAGGAACATTCGAGTGTTTAAGGTTTTCCAAACTCTTCTTATGCATGATAAAAGAAAGGGGGCTCGTCCGGGATAGAACAAGGATTTAAGCATTCAAAGAATATGAAGCATGACACTGAGTAAGCAGTGTTTCGATAGCCTGATGTGAATGCTTTCCATACACTAATAATAATAATAATAATAATAATAATAATAATAATAATAATGTCTCTAGCATAAACCAGTACAGGTGGTCCTAGTGGTCATTGGCGCACTGGGTGTCGTGCCAAAAGATCTCAGCCGGCATTTGGAAACAACGTTGACAAAAACACAACCTGTCAACTACACTTGGATCTGCCCGCATCATTCGAAAATACATCACACAGTCCTAGACGCTTGGGAAGTGTTCAACTTGTGATTTTGTGTTATGAAATCCAGCATATAGATCTCGTTTGCTGTGACATACTGTGTTTTTGTGTCAGTAGAATAATAATAATAATAATAATAATAATAATAATAATAATAATAATAATCTTTATTTATACCACATCACCATCTCCCCAAAGGAGACTCGGGGCGGATAACATGAGGCCAAACCTGAAAATACAATACAACAAATAAAATACAAAGCGACGGAAAATTACATCACAATAAAATACATTAAGTAACAAGATAAAATAAATAGTGCAAAATAACATAATGAGAAATAGAACATAATGGGTGGGCCAAATGCACAAGATAAAATGATAAAACCTGCAAGCTATTTTTACCTCTTGGCTACCAATAAGATTCTGAAGGAATTGACACACATCTTACAGTACTTTCTACAGCTGCAAGAAAGCTCGTACGAGGAATTTCAGAAAGACTGACTGCTTACAATAGAGACATAAGTCTATGCTGTTGCATTTTTTTCTAGTTCTTGGCAGTCCCACTAATTAAAATAAACACAATATTATATTCATACACATATTAATTTGGAAAGTATGCAGTAGATCTGAGCCCAATACTAAATGTTACATCTCTTTAAGATTTGTATGCATTATTGCCTTCAAGACTGCTCCCATGTGCTCCACAACTGTGTAGTTTATTGGTAAACAATAAGACAGAAGAGCTCTGGCACTCGCAGTTCCCATCAATGCAACCATTATTTTTAAAAAAAAATGTCAAAAGGGTTTCCAAAAACAGAGTAAAAATTACAAAAGAGAATTAGAATATGCGTGGTATAAGGTATTAACATTTCAAAAGAAACAAGATACACGGAAATTAGAATGTCAGCTGTGGCTGAACTAATGTCGACTGTTGTAAGAACGTTCGGGTGTTTAAGGTTTACCGAACTGTTGTTATGCATGATAAAAGGAAGAAGGATTTAAGCATTCAAAGAATATGAAGCACAACACTGAGTAAGCAGTGTTTGGAAACAAAGAGAAAGAGACAAGTTTTTTTAACTTTGGTTTTATACTGCTTGGTAATCATAGAATCATAGAGTTGGAAGAGACCTCCTGGGCCATCCAGTCCAACCCCCTGCCAAGAAGCAGGAAAATCACATCCAAAGCACCCCTGACAGATGGCCATCCAGTCTCTGCTTAAAAGCCTCCAAAGAAGGAGCCTCCACCACACTCTGGGGAACAGAGTTCCACTGCTGAACAGCTCTCACAGTCAGGAGGTTGTTCCTAAATGTTCAGCTGGAATCTCCTTTCCTGTAGATTGAAGCCATTGCTCCGCCTCCTAGTGTACAGGGCAGCAGAAAACAAGCCTGCTCCCTCCTCCCTATGACATCCCCTCACATCTTTATACATGGCCATCATGTCTCCTTGAGGAGACTTTGGAAACATCATGAGAAGACAGGAAAGCTTAGAGAAGACAATTATACTGGGGGAAATGGAAAAAAAAAGGAAGAGGGGCCGACCACGGGCAAGATGGATGGATGGCATCTTTGAAGTGACTGGATTGACCTTGAAGGAGCTGGGGGTGGTGACGGCCAACAGGGAGCTCTGGTGTGGGCTGGTCCATGAGGTCATGAAGAGTCAGGAGCAACTGAACGAGCAAACAACAAATCATGTCTCCTCTCAGACTTCTCTTCTTCAGGCTAAACATGCCCAGCGCTTTAAGCCGCTCCTCATAGGGGATGTTCTCCAGACCCTTGATCATTTTAGTCGCCCTCCTCAGGACAGCTGACCTCCAGCTGGAGCACCCAAGAGCCAGGGCTTCCCAGTTCTCAGTGCCTATGCCAGAGTTTTTAAGGTTGGCTTTGAGCAGGTCTTTCAATCTCTTTTCCTGCCCGCCAACATTCCATTTTCTGTTCTTGAGTTTGGAGTAGAGCAACTGCTTTGGGAGACAGTGGTCGGGAATCCAGACAACATGGCCGATCCAGCAGAATTGATGGTGGAGGACCATTGCTTCAATGCTGGTGGTCTTTGCTCCTTCTAACATGCTGATATTTGTCTGCTTGTCTTCCCAAGTGATTTGCAGGATTTTCCGGAGGCAGCGCTGATGGAATCGTTCCAGGAGTTGCATGTGACGTCTGTAGACTGTCCATGTCTCGCAAGCGTACAGCAGGGTTGGGAGGACAATAGCTTTATTATTTATTATTTACTTATTTATTTACTTTATTTCTATACTGCTTTTCTCAGCCCTCAGGCGACTCAAAGCAGTGAACAACATCAATACAAAATATCACAAAACAAGTATAGGGCAATTAAAAACAATTATCACATAAATCATTAACATCAGTTAACAATCATTAGCGCCTCAACAGTAAAGTCAGAATCCAGTCTTGTCATCCATTATTCCGTATTCCTATGTTCAATTACACTGTTTAATCAAATGCTTGTTCGAACAGCCAGGTCTTCACTTTCCTCCGGAACGCCAGCAGGGAGGGGGCTGATCTGATATCTACAGGCAGGGCGTTCCACAGCCGAGGGGCCACCACTGAGAAGGCCCTGTCTCTCGTCCCCGCCAAGCGCACCTGTGATGCAGGCGGGACTGAGAGCAGGGCCTCCCCAGATGATCTTAGTGTCCTAGTCGGTTCATAGGAGGAGATGCGTTCAGAGAGGTAAGTAGGGCCAGAACCGTTTGCAGTGGTTCTCAACCTGGGGTCCCAGATGTTTTTGGCCTTCAACTCCCAGAGATCCTAACAGCTGGTAAACTGGCTGGGATTTCTGGGAGTTGTAGGCCAAAAACATCTGGGGATCCCAGGTTGAGAACCACTGGTTTAGGGCTTTATAGGCTAAAGCCAGCACTTTGAATTGTGCCCAGTAGCAAACTGGTAGCTTGGTATCCCTAAGGATGTCCTGATCCTCAAACACTCTCTGCTTCATTTGGAAAAATGCTGCACTCGCAGAGCTCAGGTGGTGTTGAATTTCAGTGTCAATGTTGACTTTTGTGGAGAGGTGGCTGCCAAGGCAGCAGAAATGGTGAACATTTTCTAATGTCAACCCATTAAGCTGTATTTCTGGCATTGGAGAGGGATTGCCTGGTAACTGCTGGAACAACAACAACAACAGGCTCAAGCTCTGTCACGTTACAGGCCTGTGTTTCCCTATTGCCTGGTTTGCTCCTGCAGGATTCCGGGACAGGTAGTTTAGGAAAGCCGGGACCTCTCTGGCTGAGAATTCCAAAGGTCCCGCCGTAAACTACATTTCCCAGAATTCTGCGGGAGCAAACCCTTCGATTGGGAGAAGACAGCCTCTGTTCTAATGTGAACTAAACCCTATAGGATTCCATGATTCTCCAAAGGAAGGGGGGGGGGAACTGAAGGATTTGTGAGACTTCAACTCCCAGAAGCCCAAGCCAGGTCAGCGAAGGGCAGGGAATTGTGGGAGTTGGAGTCCGAAACCCTCGCCATGACGCTCGGCTTCCACGTCCACCGGAAGTGCGGTCTCACCTTGGAAAGAGGGAGAAGGGATAGCGACAGGCACGCACTCTCTCCCTCGCCTCGCGTGCCAGCCCCGCCCCTCGTGGTCACGTGCCCGCTGGATCAGCTGACCGGCGCTTCCGTTGCCGGCGGCAAGGCGAAGAAGGGGAGAGGAGAGGAAGAGTAGCCGGCGGAGAGGCATGGCAGCGGCGGCGGGGCCGGGCACCCGCACCAAGACCAAGAAGAAGCACTTCGTCCCTCAGCGGGTGAAGGTGCTGCGGTCCGCCGACCCCCTGCTCCGCGTCCTGGGGTGGGGCATCAACCACCAGGTAAGCCCCTCCCTTCCAGCCTCAAACTGCATTCATGCCACAGTGTAGACGCCCCTCTGGCCTAGCCGAATTAATACCAGGCAGAAGAAATACTCAGGGCCCTTCCACACAGCCATAGAACTCAGAACATCAAGGCAGATCCTCCACAAGATCTGCTTTGAACTGGGTTATCTGAGTCCACACTGCCATATAATCCAGTTCAGTGTGGATTTTATACAGCTGTGTGGAAAGGGTTGTAAGACTCCTGGCAGGGAATCAGCTCGAGTAGGCCTTTCTTTCCCCATACACAGAAAACAAATCCATGCCTTGATTTTGCCATTT